AGTTGAAGTCTTTATCCCAAGGAAACCATGAGTATTTAGTTTGCCTCTCGAGTTGTGGAGGACTTCTATAGATGTCTTGTGCATACACCCTTTTTTCGCTTACTTTTAAATTGGCTCGTCTCCTGTCCCATGGCTTTTTTTTAGTTGGAATCATTAAGGGAGGTAAAGATTCATTCTTTTTCCAAAGAAATAACCTTGATGGCTGTTTGGAATAGTTGGAAATCCATATGAGCTGTTTTAGAAATAGCATGTAATATCTCATGTCTTACTCTAGTAAATATTGCAGTGGATGTAGGGCAGATGCAAATGAAGCTGTTGTTATTCTGCTTCCATCAAATATCACCGTTTTCACTCTTGATTTTTCCGGATCTGGCTTGTCTGATGGTGAATTTGTCAGCCTGGGTTGGCACGAGGTATGTATACATGGTCTCACAAGATATATTCACCAAGAAAACATAAATGAAGTATCTATATTTGGCTTAACAAGGAAGACATTTTCTAAAAGTAAAGGCAGGAACTTTATGCATGTTTAAGCTTTAAGTCTCTCTTCTCCTTTGTGCCAGAAAAATGACCTTCAGGTTGTGGTATCACATTTAAGAAGCAACAAGCAAATATCAAGAATAGGTCTTTGGGGACGGTCCATGGGAGCAGTAACTAGGTACATGTTTTTGCTCTGTTGACGCCTTATCTGATCAGCGGTTTTTTCTGTTCTTTTTTTTTTTATTGTGTTTAATAAAGAGTTATTTGCTCTGCGTATTTGGTAGAATGAGAACACAGTCATGAACTTCCTCTTTCTGGAACTTGATGCAGCATCCTTTATGGAGCAGAAGACCCCTCAATTGCTGGAATGGTGTTGGATAGTGCCTTCTCAAATCTGTTTGATCTCATGTTGGAGCTTGCAGATGTGTACAAAATTCGTGTTCCTAAATTTACAGTATGTGTCATCCTCCAAAACTATCAAGATACTAATGCAACTACAAGAAAACAGAACGACAGTTGCATATGCAATATATTTGGTTCTGCATAAACATTCTATAACATGATATGCATGGTTAATGGAATTCTGCAATTACACAATACCATAACATTGTCTCGCCGAAATAAAACTTTAGTAGTCAAAAAGGAGTCAGATGTATACTTTTGATTCAAGCAACCTGGGCATCATGCCAAGTTCATACCCTACTAATAGCATTTCAAAGCAAAATTTGAACTTTTACTATCAAGTTGACATGAGTAACAAAAAGGAAGTGACCCTAAGGTTTACAAAATTACTATTCACAAATAGAATATTCACTGTGTACCAAATCTACTTTAATTTGAATTTATAGAACTCATGAAGGGGTATTGTCTTTAACTGACAATTTGTGTGCTTTGATAAATATTCTTGCCCAATTGGGTTAAAAAAAAACCTAAAAGGTATTTGGTTGTGGTTTAGTTATTTGAATCCTCATTTTCTTATTCTTTGTCGGGATTGTTCTTTCATTAGGTGAAGATGGCACTTCAGTATATGAGGAGGGTGATCCAAAAGAGGGCCAAGTTTGATATCATGGATCTTAATTGTTTGCAGGTTCGTCATATGTGGTTTCTGCTTTTGCAATCCATTTCTTGATCTATTAAGTTGGTGACATCACGGTCTAATTTTTCATTAGAAAAGAAAGTCCCTCATAACTTTGGCAGCGTCAACACACTGCATTAGGGCTTGGGGGATTGTTATTGTTTTATAAACCTCATTCTAGGACATTGACTTCACTAACAAAACGTGTAAGTGAGGGCAGAGACAACAAATCAATTTTTCTGGTTGGTCTACCATTTTTGTTGATACATTTGTCCTCCGCCTGTCCTATGTCATGGAACTGATTTCCCGATGAGGTCTTTGTCCTGGTTCAAACTGAATTAACTAATTACTATCCGCTCGTACAATGTAAACTAATATAGCTGTCTCGCTTATCTTTTACAAGAGGACACCCATAATGAGTTATTTGACAATTCCTCACGTTCATATGTTGTCATTTGACAATTCCTAAATAGGCTTTTTTTAACATATTTAAATTTGCCATCATTGGTTAGCTATCATAAAATTATCAATACTTTTCATTCTTGTTCTTGTTAGTCAATTGTCATTTGACAATTCTTAAGGTTACGCACTGCAGAACCACGAATATGCTCTTTCTCTAAGCAATTTGTCATTGTTGTTCTGCTTTTAATATGCACATGTTCTTTAAAATGTACAGGTTGCACCTAAAACATTCATACCTGCTTTATTTGGACACGCTAGTGAGGACAAATTCATCCAATGCCACCACTCTGACCTCATTTTCAAATCCTATGCGGTATGATGCAGTCCTGAAACTTCTGCCTCTGTGTTCTTGCTTATGCGTATTGAACGCATTTCCTATTCTACCAGGGAGACAAAAACATCATAAAGTTTGACGGTGATCACAACTCTTCTCGGCCACAGTTTTATTATGATTCAGTTTCCATTTTCTTCTACAATGTACTTCATCCTCCTCAAGTTTCCGCTGCCTATACAAATAAAGCAGAGAAGTATTATGACTTGGGGAACCTGAGGCTCAGCACAGGCATGGACGAGGTAATGTTTGGATGGAATTTTTCCTTTTGAGGATGCTCTAGTGCTTTATCTAGTTTATAGGCTTAAGCTTTTGGCCTTTGTAGGATTTTGGATCAGGGGTGTATGATTGTGTAACACGAAAAGGCAACCTAAGAAAATTGACATTATTGACTTTGTTTCTAAGTTTTGTTCAGCTTGCTAGCCAAACGAAAGTAGTTGAGTGAAGATCTCATTTTATGTTCTTTTATGCCTCATGAGATCTTTGGTGCTTTCAAAATTTGTAAGATTTATCCTGCCTGATGCAGTAATGACCTTACAAAGATTGCTATTCAAATCTAGCTGTAAGTTGCTGATGCTATGTTGTATCCTGCTTTGTTTAGAATCTTTTATACGACATCATCGCTGGTCTTCGTTCCATGGGTACTGATTCTGCGAGTTCATCATCAGTTCTTCCTAGCAATTCGGCCACAAGATCTGTTGACGAGCTTCTTTCCGAAATTTCAACAGTTAACGTGGTTGAGGTATCCACCTTACCTGGGTGTAGCTTAGTCCTTTAAATTGTGGTTTGACATCTGTTTGTATCATATTGCAGGATTCCACTTGTCAAGGCAATGCATTTGTGAGTGACGAGCCATCCCATGTGCAGGTCTTCAATTCAAGTACTCTGAATTTAATTAAAAACACAAGGGACAAATTTGCTCTTTCGTTAAGTTAATAGACAAGGGACTATGGGGCGCCTCATTGTTACCTGTTATAGGTGATTTTACATGCAAGAAGTTGTAATACAACAGCCCATCTTGTTACCTGCTGCCCCATGTTTCGAACTTTCGAAAGGCTTCTTTTTTTTATGTTTCATCATTTTGACTGGTAGCATCCTTGTTTTGCACAAGATATACCCTTGTATTTAACGGATACTGCGGGACCCTGCAATGGTGGTATATTCTTTTTTCGTAATTTGGTGGACTTCTTTGAACTGTTTGCAGGACAAGGAAAATGGCCAGAATGAAGAATGTTGTTCATTCACAAGTTCAAACAGAGAGAGCTGGGGAAGATGCTCATCTCTAGGAGGCAGCGACGATGAACCTTCTGCATGCGCTAATGACAGGCACCAGGTCTCTCTCTCTCTCTCTCTCTCTCTCTCGGGTGGTTGGTCAGAAAGCAACCTCAATTTCAGCTTGTTTTGCTGGATTTATTCATGTCTGGGCGACAAAAACAGATAAATTCGCTCCCTGACCTTGTTGATGAATAATGACCAGCTCATCTCCTTGGGACCTTAAATAAATTTCGTCTCTTTAGAGCCAAAATGGGCATTAGAAGCCAAATGTAGCCGTGTCAATGGACCATGAACAGTTATATGCTGGATCATACCTTGCTCCTGGAGTTTAGTATAAGATCAAGTCTAAAAATGTTCCACATTTTATTACTCAACTTCACCATCATCTCTGTCCTTTGCTTGTGCGACAAATCTAAGGCAATTTCTTGTTTTATTTTTAGATGACTCTGAATGCTCTTGCAACCCCACTTAGAAGCTCGCAACGAAGATCCCCAGAGACCCCAAAAGACGAAAAGAAAAAGAAGAAAAAGAAGGTGGAGCCAGCTCCAAAAAAGCCTAAGCGTGAGAAATTTGAGAAACTTGAAGCCTTAAGCCAGCGATTGCGCCTTTGCATTTTAAGAGGAGTCAACCATCATAGACACCGATCATCATGACACCCTCCATGCTGTAAAGATTATTTGGACTGTTGTTGTTTGTAATGTAATTGTTTTCTTTCCTTAATTTTGTATCTGCAGGTTTTCAAACTCTAGCTTTTGTCCCTTTTCCTTGTTCCTCAGTGAGTAGGTGTGCATTAATTTCTAGCAGCCATTTCAACTTAGAGCATCATGAATGAGGTCCATTATCGCCATTCTCTCCCTTTCTCCCACTCATTTGGCACATGCATATGTAAACAGTGCGGTAAATTTATACCGACCAAACATTGTGTCTGATGAAAATGGATTTAACTGTGATATGCTCAAGACTCTGGTGTTGACCAAATTCATCACTCTGTTGAGTGCAAGTTGAGCCTTTCAGCGGAAACAGAGACTGGTAATACTATTTTGTGCTCCCCAATAGAATAATGCTAAAGGCTTTTGGAAATGTTCCTGTTGTTATTCCAATGTTCGAATCAAGTTGAAGTCCTGACATTTGAGATGGATTTAAGGTGTGTTCGGCATGGCATTGGCCACTGCGAAACTGAAAATGTTACATTTGCCATAGATTAAAGTGCATGGTCATACATCATGAACTTGCAGGAGAAGCAATTGTTGCGCTGCCAGACGAATGGATAGTTCCCTCGTCTACCCTCACATGAGAAATCTCACAACTTGAAGCATTATCTTCTGTGTAGAATAATCGAGTTGAGTCGGAACAATGAAAGTGTTAAAAGAAAGTGTCTTCGATAATGTAAACTGAAGTCATTCATTGCCAAAACAGTCATTAAGACAGACCTTCCAGAATTTAGTCAGACAAGACAAGCTTCTAAACTTGTTATTTCAACTAAGTTCAAAGACTTCCTCTCTATAAATTACACATACAAGGCTGAAAGAAAAGGTCTAAAGATGGCATATTCCATGCATCAAAAAAATTATAGACTACCACTGGAGACTTTCCTCAGTTGATCACCAGTTGCAATCGAAATCCCCAGTGAGGGATCAAACTGTTCCCTAGTCAGGAAAGCTGGATGCGATTGCTGGTAGGAGGAGTTCAAGCCTGAGTCAAGTATCGGATGTGGGGGAAACATTTCTTCTGTGGCATATGCCACTTCTTTTGTTAGCCTTTGCTTCTTCGCTGGCTTCTCTCTTTCAGGGCTCTCGGCAATAGATCGCACGTGGCACCCAGAATCAGGGGTCTGTGGCTCATGATGAGGAGACAACGATTCATCAATTGAGAGGCTCTTTCCTGGGGCATGGTCCTTGGAGGCCTTCTCCTGAAGCGGGCACTCAGAAGTTGGAGCAGGAGTTGCTGGGTCAGTCTTCTTATCAGATTCCAGGCAATCATCACTCAAGCCAGAACCATCTGCAAGAACCCCACTGAGGCGTTGCTGCTCTTCAATGATCTTCTTCAAGTACTTCCCCTGCGCTTCTATCCGTAACTGTAGCTGTCTTTGAACCTGTTAATCCGAGCACAGAAATTAACTGGCAAGAAATTGGCCAGCTATACTGCATATGGCTCATAGATTCAGGAGTATTAGGGTCTCATCTGAATCTTTCTATGGTTGTCTCTGGAACTTGCTAATCAGAGTTGATTCATGCTTTCCAAGAAAGATACCAGTACTATACCCAAATGCAGAGAGCATAGTCCAAAGTCTCACAGGGTTGCATTGCTATTAGAAAACCTTAACCTTAACCTTTCCCCAATCCACTAAGTTGCCTTTCTTTCATCATGTGAATCTTTGATAAAAGCTTTCAGCCATAATAGTCAGGACTTCCTCAAGGAAGAATCTACTTAACTAAGGACTGTCACAATAGTTGCACGCCATTTAATGCAAAGTTCTTCATTGAATGCACGAGAACATACAAGACTTAGCCAAACGAAAATCATTACTTGCATACAATATTAGCTATTCAGAATGAAGAGAAAACGTGCCTCTAATTGCTCATGCAGTCTCTTTTGCACCTCCATCTGAAGTTTGAGAGCTTCTGTTATTTGCATTCCACTGTAAATGGGAATATAGAACTTTCATCAGTTTCGTTATAACAGAGACCTCAAATAAAAAAACCATGAAACTTGAGGAACATGTGGCACTAAAAGTTCGTCTCATCCATTACTATGAATTTCTTACAAGGAGGACACACTAAGAGCCGATTAGAAAGGAAGATTACATAACCGTGACTTCAAACTCAGAGAAGAATGAATTTTTTGGTAGGTCAGAGAAAATTGAATATTCTGAGAGAGAGAGAGAAAACAAAGGAAGTCTCACAGATGACTGCGCGCGTCTGCATTCTCATAAATAACATCTACTTAAGTCGTAACTAACAGATTAGGCATATTCTACTTACGATGAACCATCTGTATTTGAAGCAATATCTGCTGAATCTTTCTTCTCAACATTGTTTCCTTCGAACAGAAATTAAGGAAACATAAAAGCCAATTAGTATCTTCTCCTCCGGTTTTATTTTCAAATAAACGCAATTACTATTTCATGTACATGAAAAGATGAGTATGAAAACCACCTACCATCAGAAGAAGAGTCCGGTAGATATTTTGCAAGTCGATACTTCTGTATTTTGGGAAAAAGGGACCAAGCGATGTAAGCAAGAGGAAATGACAGTCCATACAAAGACCAGCATCAACAGGAAAAATAAAGTTATACAAACCTGCAAGTGACTTTTGACATGGTATATTGTTAAACCTTGAACACCCATCACTCTAAGCACGCCTTTAGGAGTGGCCCCTGTAAGGAAACAAACAGAAACTTCTCAATCAATAACCCATTGGATTATATGAGATACCCAACAACACAAAGTCTGTCTAAAAAGGAAAAACACTGTCACTAGCTCTCGTAAACTGTAACATCCACTAAATAGCAGTTTTCAAGGACTAAAAATTTCTAGATTATAGATAGAACAGTAGGCAATCCATGGGTATTGCTGCCGTAACTCCTCATTGACACCCCACCACTAGTTAATTAAATTTAAATTAATTAGCGGTTACGGGGACAAAACTTATAAAATAATGGAGTGTCTCCTTGGAGGGAATAGAATGAAGTAAGAGCATTCAGCACAGCAACGTATTTGAGAGATTTATGAGGTGTCCACTGAATTTCTCAGTATGACATAGCATGACAAAAACATGTGAAAAAAACAATCGATTTTCATTTGAAGAATGATAAATATGTGGTAGACCTCACAACATGGTTATGCGCTTAACATGCATGGAGAGCCCAAGAAAATCACATTGTAACACTTGTAACCTCAATCCCTGTATACTGACTATCGCATGTTCACTGCATTTAAATCACATTGCTGGTATATCCTCAAGAACAATACTGCATCATAAGACTCTTAATAGAGCCCAAGAAAATTTTGCGCATCAAAGGAACGGAAAGGCAAAGTATGCAGTTGCATGGTATGTAATTCTTTCCACGGTGCCGATCAAGAATTAATGCTTAATGATTAATGCTCTATAAACATCGAGTAAAATCAATGCAATTAGCATAGTATTCCATTTTTTTGGAGTGACTTGAGTCTGAGCCAGTGGCTGACCAGCCCTGACATGCCCGCCTATCGCTTAGGTGGCTTTCATATCATGTTTCAACCCATCTGAAAAAGGCCATGCATACGTGTGCTTTCAAGTCCTATCTCATTCTACGCATTAGAGGTTGGTCCAAAAAATAATGTCAGCATTGAACGAACATTAAAAAACTGAACAGTTAACTATATGGAGCAAACTATTTTCCACGCGGTGAAAATTTTTGGTTAAAGAAGATTCTGAAAGAAAATAAATTTTTATGCTTACACAAAGAGGTAATACACATAAGTATTAAAAAGAAGCTTTGCAACAAAAAGAATGAGGCAACTCACTGTCAGGACCCCCGAGTTGTGCCACAGCATCAACAAAACGTTCATGAAGCTCATGAGTCCAACGAAGCCGGTGTTTTGATGCGAGATTAGGGTTGTTGCTGAGACTATTTCCTCCATTGAAAGGCACTATTTCACTGGCCCCGCAATCTAACTGCTGGCCATCAGTAAAAGAGTCGCTGCCGACTAGACTTGAGCTAGGGACACTTCTCGGTTGATACATTTACCCTTTACCTGTACCAAGAGGACAAGTTTGTCAAAGATAACCTTGAAACCGAAAATGGTATCCACATAATGCACTTTTAAGTGTTATAGTACAGCTGCACGGTAGTTGGTAATAACTAGACAAAAGTAGTTATGAAAATTTGTAGCTGAAAATGTCCTTTCTCTTCTCCTTTTCCTTGAATTAGCAATCTCGCCACCATGAGTAAACCATGGTTACCAGGATTGCGACACCTCCTTGCAAGGTACAATCACGGAACGACATTCCAAATTTGGGCACGCTTTGTTTCAAATGGTCAAATTGGCAATCCGAGGGGCACCCCACCAAAAACTCACTTAATTGAAAGATACCAAAATAAAACTAATGGTGCCAGCTCATTCTAGAAGATGATATTGTTCATTCTTTAAACAAATTCATGCTTTTGGATTCATAGAAACTAAATTATACAAGAAGTGCTTTACTTTAATGGATCAATAAAAGTCGATGTTGCATCTTACTTCTCATTAGAAAGCAAATATAACTAAACTGTGACTTTCCCATATTAGAAAATAATCTCAACCAATTCTTCACAGCATACCATGATCCAAATTAATCGATGATAGAGACTACCCCTTACGCATCGCTTTCTTGACAGGCAACACACCCCATCCCTGATGACCATGACCAGTAACATACCATGATCTAAGTAACATTGGAAGACACCCAAAATTTGTCCTTTTCACTATGAAATTGTGCATGAAATGAAGTGTTAGCTTTTTTTGGATTGAACAGAAGAAACCATATATCAACCTCCCAATATATACAGATGTTGAGAAACTTCAACACATCAAACAGTTGGTACGACTTAATGAGACAGCTATAATCTTTTCACTGCCCACGCACTACCAAAACAGATCTAGAAAATTTCCCTTCCTGGGAGGTACATGGCGGTTACAGCAGATACTAATAAGACCTTCCTAGTGTTGGCGAGTGTAAGTGAATAAAGTCACGACCTTTACACTCATAGGTGACGGAGAAAACATTTAGACTCCCTCTCACCATTTTTTGGTCGTCATGGCAGCAAAGAAATTAGGAGAGCCATCACATCAATCATCAAATGCAAGGACAAGGGTCTTTCTTTCGCTCTTCTCTTCCCATTTGTTTCATAATGGGTGGCGTGGGATTAGGAGTGGCAGGGTTGGTATAGTTTCTTGATGCCGATTGCTCCTGCCCGAAGTATTCATGCAGCGTTGTGTTGTTCATTTTCTGTATATCTATTCTTTACGCTAGCATGCTAGGTGCAGTCCATAATAGACACGTCTCTAAGGCAGGACAAAACAGCTGTTGCTGGAAATTTCAGCAAGAAAATATGCCCTTTATAGATTTAGTACTCGAGGGTAACACTGATATCGACCGTATCACAAGGGCATTCAGTAGTACAAGGGAGGCTCCCAGGCCAGTGCACTGATATCTCCATTCCCATCATAACGTCAGCATGCTCTTACTGCATATACCATATCTTGCAATCAAACAAAAATATTCTCACCCAATCCACTCCATCAAGGACCCACTTCTCCCGGAGATTTACACACAACATTCGCCGACACCTACCGCGATACCATTCGAAATCTAACCGCTCAACTATGTCAAAAAGTAGCATGTTGGGTTTCCAAAAGTGGCAAATACTGGAATCACCAAGCAACAAACTGTGTTCAGAACATCGGCAAAAGCTACCGACTTTTGCCCCTCTTCCCGCGAAACAATTAAACCCGCGCGGAGCGCGCGATCAAGCTCACAATAACCGACAATCAATTCATAAAGCCAGTCAAATCTCAACCATGGCTACTCTAGTCCCTCGCCTCCAAGCCTAAACAAAGGCGAAGACCCACAAAAGGCAGCTAATTCATAGAGGCAGACGCTTCAGGACACACTCAATTCACCACCTCAAAACACAAACTTGTTCGTGGGAAACCGTGATCGACCCAATTTGGCAACAACAACAACAACAACAACAAAAGGGAAACACACGGCTCCGTGCGTGCCAGCAAGAATGATTACGTACCTGGGTGTGTCAGATCGATGGGAGAGTTTCCCGGGGAACACCGGAGAGAGACGAAGGAGATGGACTTGGTTGAAGCTCGCGAACTTCCTTTTTTGGGGAACTTTGTCTTTTAACTTGTTGTGTTCGGGCATGGAAGCCTGCAAGAACCTCTCTCTCTCTCTCTCTCTCTCTATTTCTATGTCTGGTTCTCGGATTCCAGGGACTTTTGTGTCCTCTTGTCGCTTTCATTTCATTCGTCACCTCTAATTCTATCGAAATCTCATTTCACGATTTTTCAGGAAAAAAAAAATGTAAATTTTTTTAATTTTTGACGGCAAAAATTTTTAGGGTATCTTCAAATGGGGGCATTTGTGTGTATATATATTTATTTAAAGATTTTTGTGTTTCAAATTAAGAATATAACACTTCCAATGTTTAAGATTTAAAGTTAAAAGTCAAATCGGATGCCCACTTACCAAAATAGATGGCTCGAAGGAGCTAATAAAAATCCGGATCGACCTCATCGAATAGAGCGATGACATGTATCAGGGATTCTAGCTCGATTAGGAAATTAGAAGAAAGAATCGCGCGGCGTTTTTGTAAAACAAAATAGACAGTAATATGGACAATAGATATAAATAAACGGGTAAAGCGGCTGTTTTCATAATTTGGAGCGTGAGGTCCCCAGAGGCTAATTTCTTTTTATTTACATATGCATGATTTTATTTAGGAATAGCGTGTTTAGAGGATACTTTTCTTCCATATTTTGCTCCTCATTTCTGAACTCAACATGAATGGCGATATAACATTCAAGCTTTGCAACTCAAGTATGATCAATGGAATCTAAGATATCAAAACATTTTTCACCCGCACTTGTATATAAATTAACACTTTTAAAGGATAATAATTTCATGAATCATAACTATAAACCACTACGACAAAATTTAGGCGAGGACAAAATTTCGAAAATCATAAGGTAAGAAACATTATGTGCAATTATTATAACGAAATTGGTAAAATGACGTGATCTAGTAGCTTAAGAAGCATTGCATTATGTATTCAATTCTCACTCAAATCGATTTCTTTGGGGAAATGTTTACGCATGAATCTTCCGGTCTCGACATAGAATAACTCGTCTGCAACTCGAGGTAAACTCGACATACTCGCGAGAATCGACCGTGTCCGACCACACGGCGGCAGTGTTAAGACACAGCCAAAAGCAAGCATGACTACATGTGTAATCCCCAAAGCAAAAATATGAACAGCGAGCATAGGCAGCTCCGAAAAGAATGACGCTAATTCATGAAGGAATTTGTCCCTGGAGACAAGAAATATTTGACCAAGTACATGCTTGCAGGGGAAGGATGGAGACAACATGGACGACCAGAACTAATGTTTGTCTTGCTAGAAGCTGTGGCCCCACTCTGGCGGGGGAATCTACGGGTCATATTCCGGCGAGCATCGAAGCGAATCCGGCAGCCATCAGAACAAAAAGATCACTTTCTTGTTCGCTAGCCTTGATAGCAATGCAATTTTGGACTTTCTGGTGTACTGTTTTCGCATGCTTCTTGAGGGGGAAAGCATGCTGTGTTGTCCCGACCAACATCCTAGCTGTACTCCCGAAGCTACTGATAAAAAATTAGCGGACGATGCGGCAGAGCCGGCGACTTTCGGCGAATGAATGAGACTTGGTTTTTGCGACTGTAGCAGTCGGCTTTTCCGAGATTTGAAGTGGGTCACTGTCGCTGTTTGAATTGATGTCGACACCTACTTTGCGATCTCTTTTTTTAATCGTCGGTTATTTCTTGATGTCTGCCTGGTCATGGGAGATTAAGAGAGTACTGGTACTGTACATATATCGGATAGTCTAATGAGAAGCATAATACAAGAGGTTTGGACGTGTGTCGTTGATGAACTCGCTCCCAAACTCGCTCCCATGATTAGCGCATTGCTATCAGTCGGCCAAACAAAGAACCATACCCAATTTCATTCATTCATTCATGAGAGAGAGAGAGAGAGAGAGAGAATGCAGTTCAATCTTGTGATGCATGATTGATGGAGCTATCAACTGTGTAAAGAGGAGTAAATTGCTTTCTCAGACTTAGCATTGCAGGAGGCAATGGATTCATCCTCCACAATTGCCAACTTAAAACAATGCTATTGCTGTAAATTTGTCCTCCTGAAAAGTTTGCAAGCAACATTCTTTAAACTCCACCATGATTACATTTTCCATGTCGACTATAAATGCAAAGGCTCTTAGATTACAGTTATTTCACCAGCCACATATGCATCATTCGAAGATCCCTCTAACATGGACTATCTCTTAAGGAAATTAAATCTGCTGGCCAAGCATCTCACTGTTAATGGAGAATCACAGAAGTCTGAAAACTACAGAGTCTTGGCATTTTGATTGTCGATAATTTACAGGTTTTTCAGGCAGTTGTTTCAACTGTTTCTGCCAATGACAAAGAGGACAAAAAGAGAACTGGCGATTTTTTACACTTGAAAATGCAGGGCGGGCTAGGAGCTAGGCCAATTAGCCAGATGAATTGAATACAGAATATTCAGCCTTACATCCCAAAGCCAGTGAGTCCATGAGGGCTTACCTGGGGTACAGCGACATCCCGGATCTTCAGCTTAGCTTCACTCCAAATAAGAGGTGCGCTTGTTGAGTCAATGCCCATTGCTCGTTTCTTTCCTCCAGCTGGAGATTCTTCAAGAGCTAAAATTCTGGGACTCTCGTGCGAGGTCAAGCAGCTTTCAGTAGAGCAATCGCCCCTCTGGGAATGGAGGTTTGGTGGCACTTCGTCCTCCGTGCCATGTACTGCAGTCACCTCATGCGAGTAAAAGCCAAGTGGATCAATGGACAGGTTTCTTGGCATCTTAACCCCATATGCCTGGCATTTTTGGTTTTCAGTATCAATGATTGCGCTACCGATGAATTGGTCGGCAAGCATCTTGCAAGCCCTCTCAAGCATTGCCATGTATCTTCTCTCTGCATCCTGGCGTATTTGCAAGTGCTTCTCAGCCTACACAATATACCCAGGATCAGACAACTGAATAATAGATCTAGATCTCCTGTCAAGCCCCAGAATATATTATGTTGTTCTTGGCAAGCAATCAATGAGTAATTCGGAATGTGGAATGTGTGCTAACATTCTGAAGATGACCAGAAAAATAAGAATAATATAGCCAATGGTCCAAAACTTCTATGAGGAACTCCAGTTCCAGAGAGATCACAGACTTCTCCTTAGAATAGCCCAAAAGGAAAGAAACTACAGTATGTATATACATAAGGGAAATCAATCACCTCAACTTGAAGATGTAATTTGCTCTGCATTTCCATTTGTGCTCTTAATGCCTCTTTGACTTCATAATTTCTGCCAAAGCCGGATATCCTCAAAAATTAAAATTTCACGACGCAAGCACATGCAAGAAGAACCATAGGGAGAAGGAAGATCGGACAAACTCGGCCTTACTCATTCAGATCAGATGATGGTAAGCTTGGGGTAGAATTACCGCTACCAGGGTTTTCTAAAAGGTAAGAACCTGACAACCCTACAACATAATGGCGAAAGCAAAATGTGTAAGATAAAAAATCTGCGAGTGGATAGAATCTACATATTCTAAAATAGAGGATAATATTTGACTTTTCTTCATCAGCCCATTATATTTCTGTCAAGGGTAAATTAAATAATGAAAAGCAGTGTAATACCATCTTTGGGTGCATCGGCCCCATCTTTCCCTGATTGCTTGCCTAGTCTGTATTTCTGAATGAAAAAGAAACACCATAATTAGTCGTTGATCGCCAGATCACCGTCGTCAATAAGGCATTCTAGTGATATAACATGCTATAACCTGGAGGTGACTCTTCAAATGGAACAGAGTCAACCCTTTCACGTTCATTGTCCGCATAATGGCCTTTGGGGTAGCTTCTGCAAATTGGATCCACGCCTTCATAAAATTAATGAGACAGTAATGGAGAACTCCCAACTTATGGGATACACCGAATTTAGGTGACTCAAGAAACATGCAGGTAAGCACCAAAACAAAGTAAACACAACCTAAATTGAAACCAATTAAGAAGAGACAGGAGACTTTAGCCGTAGTCCTAGTCCTCAATTATTTTCACGATATATTTAAACTGTTCATCAGGCTTGAATGCCTAGATGGAGAAACAGGGTAGGCCAAACCCAAAGCAGAACACATTGAGTCTAAATCTTTCCATGCAACATGCAGCCCATAAGATCTGGCTTCACCCAAGTCAATGTTAAACATGACTATGTCAAATAACTATCAAAGTCAAGAGACAGCAAAGCTAAAGCTAGGACAATCTGTTTCGCCATCTGTTTCTCTCCTATAATTGCTATCGAGTGCTGCAAGAACACAAGAGAGCCTACAGAAAGATCCTGCAGCATTAGATGCAAATGATGACGCAAGATCAGAACTCCAAGACTTTGAGAAGGATTTTATATGCGCTTCGTCAGACCATGCATCTAAGTGAGACTCCACAATAGCAGCCTCAACTCTTTTTGGACCAAAACAAAAGCACCGGAGAATTATAAAGAAAAGGTCAAAAGCTCACTTTCATTTGTTGATATACAAAGTGGTGACAAACAAATGGCGAGTAATGTTTGGATCGTTTCTACGAGAGGTTTAGAAAGATATGGAGAACCTAGATCCTTCAGTAGACTCACGATTATATAAAGAGGAACGACGTAAAAGATTCATGTAGCCAACTCCACTTAGTGAAATAAGGCTCAATTATTGTTGTTTTTGTAGGTGGATTTTCTTTGAAATATTTCAATTTACTTAAGGATGGAGTTACAGTTCATTACAAATAAGATGGCTTAAGATGATTTATGTAGCTGACCTAATGGGAAAAGGCTCGGTTGTTGTTATTGTTACAGGTGTGGACCAACTTCTTAGTTATACTGCTCTATAGAGCCTGGATGATTTACTAGGCGGAAGACCAAGAGTAAATAAAGAATCTTCATATAATTTTTTCTGTTTACAAGTAAGTTGCACATTACATTCAAAGCTGGTTCTTCCAGGGAAACCATATATTTATCCTGAAAGGATATTTGTGTAACCTAGTCAGCTGCTGGAATTTGACGAATCTCAGAAAACCAAAAGGAGAAACTCATGATTTTTACCAAGGAATCATGAAATGATCCCCCATTCCTATCAGCCACAACCATTAAATACAATAAACACAACCATGTATAGAATAAGAAAAAAACCAGACACTTGGATGAAGGATCTATTCCAAAACCTCTTAACTGGTAGCAACTTAGCAATGTTAGTATCAAGCATTGCTAGATGCTACTCTCACTATTTGTCTTATCCTGTTTGGCTATCTGATTGCACATGTAAAAAAGCCCCTACAGCTCAATTATCCTCTTTTTTCTTCAGAAACTCCCTCCACATGGGAAAGTTTTGCAGATTCACAACAATACCAAAAACATTCAGAACATAAGTTGCATTCAGAGCAATAAATGAGCACTCTAGGTTTTAGTTTTCCAAAAGTTGAGAGCCAAGTGTTTTTTTAATTATTTTCAACAATGAGGGACGTAAATGAACATCCAGAGAGAAACAATGGTGTCTTCAGTTTCATTTAAAATAAATATGCTACAAATTTCAATTAATGTACCAAGCACAATTGCGAAAGCCGAGCATTACAAAAGAAAAAGTAAATTCTCAGGAAATTTTAAATGAATACTAAAATTGGAGAACTACTCAAGCAGTCAACAGAAAGCCAGATATTTTCTGCCACGTCTCCATTTTTTTTTTTGGGGTCAGAACCATGTCACCGTTGATCTCTCTCAGTTACAAATCAGATAAAGAGAGTGCCAATATCATGAAGCTACCACTGTAATAATGCAAGTAGCGTATCTTCTCACAATACACAAGCGCGTCCACGAATGCGAGGAAGTCATCACTCAAGTCCATGCAAAGCTAACACGCAATAAAACATGCAAGCCTCTTACACGAGTTGGCTGGGGATCTAAAAAGGGAATCCTGTTGATTTCTAAGTCTCTTCCTGCATCAGGAAGAGGGTAAGGCCTCGGCGTCTGGCCATTAATTACCAATTATACGTCATCCACTTAAAAAATGAGTGGATTAGACGCACCGATTCGCAAATTGACCCTTCAAAATTTCATTGAACAGGAAAATGACCTGGAGGCTTCCTGTCAGTCACTAAAAGTACCAGATTTCATGCCGAAGTGACTTGGAAATACTTGTGATTACTATCTTTTCTGGGATGTACACCCAAAACATTCTTTTGGCGAAAAGAAACAGCCAACCCATTCCGGAACCTCCAACGGGGAAAGACTACATCTATTTCTTCTATTCAACAAACAGCTTAAGATTTTCTAAGTTAGATTGACTTTCAGTTCTTACCAAAACAAGATTCCAAGACCAGCTACTTTGCAGCATAAGTCCCTACAACTCCTCTTTGCTCTACAACCTCAGCCTGTCAACCCTATAGAACACTCCAGTATCAGGCAAGCACTAGCCTAAGTTGAGCGCCTGGAGAGAACTACTCACATCTCTCAGTTGAATGCTTTCTCAACAGTTCCGCGACCGGCATTATAAGCGCCCAGTAAATTTCCTCCCACATAAGCAATTTCCAGACTTTTACAAATCCTCCTAAATTCCTCGTTTTCTTGTAGGGGGACCCGCAGTAGTTCTCGCAGCTCGGGAAACTCTGCCGATCCATATAAAAGCCACCTCATTTCAGCCCGAAACAAAATCGCTCAGCGGAACCCAAAATTCCCCGCGTCAAATCCGACCCTAAGAAGCACCAAAGACAGCATGCATTTCCTTACCAAACTTCACACTGCGCGAGCCCCAACAGCAGCCTAAATTGAGGATCCCATGAGAACGACTAAACCAACAAAACACTCTCCGTCTCAGCCGAGCTACCAAAGCCAAACCAAACCTTTCCAGCGGAATAAAACCGAAAAGAAATCACGCACAGGTAATCCCTACCAAACCAGCACCAAACCCGACACGCCTCGCGGCACACGAACTGCGCAGCAAAAGAGAGAAAGCACATCCGAGAAATGCAGGAGGAGGAGGAGGGCTCACTGCTGGCTCCGCCGAGCTGGGTGACGGCGTCGACGAACCGCTCGTGGAGATCGGTGGTCCAGCGGAGGCGGGGCTTGGGATCGGAGGTCAGCACGAGGCACGGATCCCCGCGGTGGCCGGGATTTCCTCCGCCTCCGCCTCCTCCGCCGCCGACGACGCCGACGCCGACGAAGTCGTCGGGGCCGAGGAGCCCCTCGTGCGACTGGATCAGCCTCGGGAACATCAGGCTCCAAAACCCTAGCAAGCGAACCGACCGGGGACCGGGACCGGGACCGGGACCGGGACCGGACCGCCGCCGCCGGAGGCTCGGGGGAGGAGCTCGAGCCGCCGCCGGCGAATCGGCGGACCTTCGAAGGAGGAGGAAGAGGAGGTGGGGAGCTCGGAAGAGGAGTGGGCAGTAACTACTAAGTGAAAATGGAGCGAATGATGACGAGCTGCTTTTTTTCGGTTCGCAGCGGCGTCAAGAAAAAGCGCCTCCTTTTTGCCCCCATTTTGCGTTTTACGCACCGTGCGTAAAAAAAACAAAACACACAAAAAGCAAGAGAGAGAAAGCGAGATCGATAGAGAGAGAGAGAGAGAGAGCGAGGGTGTGTGTCCGTACGGAAACGGAAATGGTTGGTCGCGGCGCTCACTCTTTTTTTTTATTTTTTATGTTTTGTTTTTTCCCTTACGAGGTTTTCGTCGCTTTCTGCGCTTGCGCAGCAGGGTCGACAGGACGACCGATTCCCCCCCCCCCCCCTCGTTTCACACGTCCCCGATATTAGGGGGTTATCGATTCTCGGTCCCATCGGTCCCATCCCCCGTTAGAATCGGAACCGGATAGAGAGGATCGGTTCTCAAGATTGAGAATCGGGGGAACAGGACCGATTGATCCTGGGACCGAGAACCGGTCACTTTTCTTTTTCCCCACTACTTGATACCCTATGTTTTTGAAACTGGAATTGTATTTCCCTTACCGACTATATAAGATCACGAAAATAAATGTGCAGTTCGAGCCAATGCGACGGTGAATTTGTATTCCCTACGCCGACTACACATAGTCGCAATATGTAGTCGATCCGGTAACTCCTTGGAACTGGGAACCGGACAGCCCGAACACCGGTTCCACTTTTGGGAATAGGGACCGGACCGACACTCCTGGGAGCCGGACTTGATACCATATGTTTCGAAACTGGAATTGTATTCCCCGTACCGACTATACAAGATCACAAAAATAAACGTGCAATTCGAGTCAATGCGACGATGAATTTGTGTTTCCTACGCCGACTACACATAATCATAATATGTAGTCGATCCGGTAACTCCTTGGAACTAGGAACCAGAACGCCCGAACACCGATTCCACTTTTAGGAACCGGGGACCGGACCGACACTCCCGGGAGCCAGACTTAACCGGCCGGTTCGGTCCGGAGGTTCCCGATTCGGGCGGTCCGTTTTGTACACCCTTATCGGGTATCCCTGGACTTTGTCGCGATGCGTAACTCGGTCCTTGAAATTTTGCCTCGGCATGCAACTTGGTCCCCGAGCTTTTAATCTGTTTTCTGTGGTCCCTAAATTTTCGACGAATATTCAATCTAGTCTATGAATTATTATATACGTGGATTCAATTTAGTCCCCAGATTATTTAGTCCATGGGCTAAATTGAATGTGCACAAAAAATTCAGGGACCACATTGAATAAATTAAAAGATTAGGGACCGTATTGCACATCGAATCAAAATTCGTGGACTATTTATGTCATTTTTCCCATGTGTGTTATATGCAATAATGGCTAAGCAACTATTTCTCAACATTTCTATAACCTCTCGAGACATCGTTCCTCTAGTCTTTTAACATTTATGTGGTACAATACTTGGCACATGCACTGTAACATCCACGTTTCGGACCCCAGATCAACCAAGGGAAATGGACAGGGAATTGGTACGTGGACTGACCCAAGGGTCGGCCATGGATCAAGCTGTTTGGTCGGAACGGGCAACCAAGGGATGGACAATGAGTCGGCTTCCCAATCAAGCAAGTTGATTAGAGTGATCGACCACGGATCGACTATTCGACCATAAGGGTCGGCAGTGGGACGATCGAGTACCGAGTCGATCAATGGGCGGTCATGGATCGATGCCACGTGGACATGTGTCAGTCGCGGGTGATTCCACTCGGCCATGCATCGATCGCCATGGACCGACTCCAAGCGGCCGTGCGTTGGTCGAGAATTGATTCCACGCGACTACATGACAACCGAGGGTCGATCATGGATCGTTGATACTCAAATATAGACCGGTTGTGAATCGGCCATGGATTATTGCGGAAAATCGGGAAAGGCTATGGAGGAGTCATGGATCAGGCCCCGTACCAGGTCATGGACCAGCCATGCGCCGATTAGGATTGGCCATGTGCCCGGCCTCGTGCCGGCCGTGGACCAGTTTTGCACCCGTGCCGCACAGGCCCCGCGCCCGTGCAGGCCAGGCCGTGTGCCCGGCTCAGCGCTCGTGCAGGCCAGGCCATGCACCCAGTGCAGCGCCTGTCCAGCTCGGCTTTGTGCCCGGTCAGACTTGGCCGAATAGGCCTTGTACCTGGTCATTTCAGATTTTGGTTTGGTCGTGTTTGGGTGCTATTTAGCCCTGAACCTCGGTTCCAAATAAGAGGGTCGATCGTGTATGGCACATAAAATCCCTGATGGTTCTAATTTGCTTAGTAAGTTAAGCATTAGTGAAATTTAGTGCTCAAAGAAAAATGAACCATTGGAGTTAGTGAGAGCCACCAATTATTGGGAGTTCTTGAGAAAGAAGCACAAGGATCACATGCCCAAAAGACTTCATGGGCAAGAGGACGAATTGGATTGACAAGTTAATGGAATTATTGACAACTTCTTTTGTAAGTTGCCCAATAATAGAACTTTGATAACTTTCTTTGTAAGTTGCTCACTTTTTTATTTTTTTTTCTTACGAGAATTCGTCGCTTTCTGCGCTTGCGTGTGGTCGCGAGGACAACCGATTCTCCCTTCATTTCACACGCCCTTGTTCTTCTTGATTGCTATGTTCGGATATTAGGGGTGTTGGTTCCTGGTTCCACCTTGGAACTGGACGAGACCGGGAGAATTTGGGAACCAGAGATCGGACCAATTGATTTTAGGACCGAGAACCGGTCACTTTTCTTTTTTCCCACTACTTGATACCGTATGTTTTGAAACTAAAATCGTATTTCCCATGCCGGCTACACATAATCGCAAAAAATAAGCGTGCAATTCGAGTCAATGCGACGATAAATTGTGTTCCCTATGCCGACTACACATAATCATAATATGTAGTCGGTTCGGTAACCCCTTGGAACTGAGAACCGGACTGTCCGAACAGCGATTCTACTTTTAGGAACTGGGGACCGGACCGGCACTCCCGGGAGCCGGACTTAACCGGTCGATCCGGTTCGGAGGTTCCCAATTCGGGCGGTCCGTTTTGCACACCCTTATCGGATATCCCTGGACTTTGTCCCGGCGCGTACCTCGGTCCCTGAAATTCTGCCCCGGCGTGCAACTTGGCCCCCCGAGCTTTTAATTTGTTTTTTGTGGTCCCTAAATTTTCGACGAATATTCAATATAGTCTATGAATTATTATATATGTGGATTTAATTTAGTCCCTGGATTATTTAGTCTACGGGCTAAATTGAACGTGCACCAAAAGTTCAGGGATCACATTGAATAAATTAAAAGATTATGGACCGCATTGCACATTGAATCAAACTTCGTGGACTATTTGTGTCGTTTTTCCTATGTGTGTTATATGCAATAATGGCTAAGCAACTATTTCTCGACGTTTCTATAACCTCTTGAGACATCGTTCCTCTAGTCTTTTAACATTTATGTGGTACGATACTTGGCACATGCACGGCGAAATAGATGTATGTACTATGGTAAATTGGTCATCCAAAAAAAAACCATAGAATGCTCCCTAGCTGTTTTTTCGATGGAAAAGCCTCGACCTCGATCATCGATTTGCTCATCACTGAGTTTGATATTCCGGCTGAACTAAACTAAGTCCAACTAGGCTCGAAGCACAAATTGTGCAAGTATGGATATGAAGTTTTTGTTCCTATACTTTCACGCATTTTCTAATTACATCCGTATAATTTAAATTAGTTTAATCGAGTTCTACTTTTACAAATTTTTTAATCAAGTCCATCTCCATATTGAATCCGATCAAATCCAACTGACGTGACTATCTTACAATTCCAAGATATGAAGAAATAAAATTTAACCGAACACAAAAACTGGTCAAGTCTAACTGATGTGACGGTTCTGCAACTCTAGAATATGACGTGAATAAAATTTAACCAACGTGAACGTCTGCATATAGACCATTGTATTTAGCTAACGTGAACAATATCGGACCATGGCGTGGGTAAAATTTAGCCTGTATGAACACCCAAGTGGACGCTTACGTCGGAAAACAAATTTTCCATGTCACACTCCTCAAGGGTCGCATGAGCTGGATTTCGCCGAATTTGGTGCCCGTGGACCCTGCCACTTGATCAGAACGTTCGTAAAAGCATCAGGAACTAATCAGAAAAAATTTAAAAGTACGAGGAGTGGATTAAAAAAGGCATGGAAATTACACAGATAAAAGTGAGAATTTATCTATTTGTGGATTCTCGACACGATTGTCGCTTTCTCTTGTGGTGGGGCAGTTGGAGCTGAACCCACTTGGAGATCAATTAGGACTAAATTATTGGAAGTTGTTGCTTTTAACATTAATTTGTAAGTGCGCCGACCAAGTATGACCAAGCATGCACTTTTAAATAGACCATAGTTTAGGTTGCTCTTCAACGGGGAATTTTTTTATAGCTCAAAACATCATCCATTTTGTATCATTTGAGAACCACAAGTCAGTAAAACTCGTGAAATTTACTTAATTAGTAGGTAAAAGATGCACATACTTGCCTTCGATCGGGTAAGACTCCACCCACATGATGGGAACAGGTTTCCCGAGCTACTATGAACGTAGCGTCGATTGCGTTCGGACAACTCTTGACTACCCGGCTACCGGGGCGAATGGGGTTCGAGGGATGTCCATCTTTTAGAAGCCATTCAAATGCTGAGCTGGTAGCTCTTAGCTGGTCTCCCTTTCCGTATCCTGCTTCAGCCAACCTGCTCCAGAGGAAAATCACTCTCTTTTGCTCATCTTAAGGGGGTGAAAGATCAACGGCAATCCAGCCTTCCGGAGAAGCGTGGCAGAATTTGGAACGCGGTTGTGGTGAGTAAAGATTGGGTCAGAAAAATCGACTGGTTCGAAGTGGGCCGATTGACCTGCACATTACCCCCGGAAGGACTATACTTTGCGTACACAGAGACCTTTCAGTCTCCGGAATATCCAAAGCCAACACGGAGGAACCGAATCCGAGACTGTTGAAAAAAACGTCTCACACTTGGATGCATTGATAACGCGCATGCGATTCTGTATGAGCTATACCAGCACAGATCGGGTCTGTTTCGTGAAACCCGTTTCAAGCATTTGGGGCATAAGCTTCTCCTGCAGCAATGTATAGACTCTCTCCATCTCTGGATGTGATCTGTCCCCAGCAAAGAAAACGTGACTCTTCCCATTTACTTCTATTTGGCTGAAGCCCGGCACTTTCCTCACATTCTGTTCCTTCATTTTCTTCCTCACTTGTGCGAATTCGCTCCACTTGCCACTGGCAGCAAACACATTAGCCCATAGCACGTAAGGCCCCGCGGCAGCAGGCTCTAGCTCTATTAGCTTCTCCCCTAGGACATTTGCTAGACTATCGTCTCCATGAAACCTGCAAGCGCCTAGAAGTGCGCCCAAGACAGCACCATCTTGTTCCCGCTGAGGCATTTTGCAGAAAACCTCCAAGGCCTCTTCTACTTGTCCTGCCCGACCTAGCATATCCACAAGGCAACAGTAATGCTCTGCTTGTGGTTCTAAAGCATACGCGGCAACCATCGAGTTAAAAAGCATTCGACCTTTCTTGACCATGCCAGCATGAGTACAAGCCGATAAAACCCCTACAAATGTGATCTTGTCTGGCGTGGTTCCTGCCCTTAGCATGCGTGCAAACACATGCAATGCATGGTGACCATATCCATGATTTGCGTAAGATAATATCATCGCGGTCCACGAGACAACATCCTTAGACTCGAGATTCTCGAAGACTAGCCTAGCAGAGAAAAGATCCCCATTTCTTGAATACATGGTAATAAGGGCATTAGCAAGTGGCGTATCTTGCTCAAACCCAAGAGGTATAACTAGTGCATGAGCTTGCATGACTTCTAACGTGCCTTCGCACGAGGTTAAGGCACTAGTGATCGTCGTCTCATTTAGCCTAAATCCAGATCGCTGCATGTGAATGAGAAGGTGTAAGGCTTCACCTTCTGGGCCATGTCTCGCGTAACCATCAATCATGGCATTCCAGGTGACTACGTTCCTTTGCGGCATTGAGCCGAAAATTTCATTAGCTTCAAGCATAAGCCCTTCATTAACGTATGCCGTGACCATAGCATTCCATGACGCAATATCTTTATTCGGCATTTTCTCGAAATATCCCCTTGCGTGTTTAGTCATTCCATTCCGTGCTAGACCAGTAACCATAGTAGTCCAAGAAACTTCATTTCTTTGAGGCATCATATTAAACATTCGAATGGCTTCAATTACCCTATTGCCATACATCAAACCTTGAATCATGACATTCCAAGAATATGTATTCTTCTGCGGCATTATCTTAAAGAGTTGCTCTGCATCATCTAATCGACCATTCTCAATGTAAGACTTGATCATCACTGTCCAAGCAACAACGTTCTTCTCAGGCATCAGATCGAAAGTTTTACGAGCTTGATCAATCAAACCATTGCAGGCATAACCTTGAACAACAGTAGTCCAAGAGACCACATTCTTGTCCGGCATTTGTTCGAAAAGCGCAAGACCCTTGTTGACCTGCCCTCCCCTAAAGTACCCAGAAATCAAGCTAGTCCACGAGTACACATTCCACTCCGTCATTTCATCGAACACCTTCTGGGCATCACCTATACGGCCAGCCTTCGCATACCCATCTATCATCGCCGAATCGACTCCCACATTTCTCCCGGGCATTTCCCAGAAGAGCCGTTCAGCCTTGGGAAGATCATTGCTCTTGAGGTATGCCTTGATCATGGACGAATAAGAGAAAGCATCCCGTCGAGGCATATCGTCGAACACCTTCCTCGCCTTCTTGACCTCGCCCCCACTGCCCAGGATCTTGATCATCACGTTGCAGTCACGGATGTCGGGATCTTGGGTCGATGCCGGAAGTGAGCTCAGAGCTCTGGGAATCCGAATCCGATTCGTGTACCTTCTGAGGAACCGTTTCGCCGGGGAAGAAGGCAAAGGCGAAGGGCCCGGGTTCGCGCGTGCGCAATGATTCGCGGCGAGCAGCTCGAGGAAACTCCGGCGGCGAACGGGGCAGGCTCTGACGGAATGCATGGCGATGACGGCGTTCCATGCACGCTCGAATCGTCGGCTTCGATCGCGAAATGGTGTCGATTCTCCGCGGCGAGGATGCTCTGGCCAGAGCGTGTGGCTTGTTGCAGAGCGAGTTCAATTTTAAACTGACCTCCCGGCTTTCCTGACGGATTATATATGGATATGTCCATGTGAGCCATTAGGACCATTCTGTAAATAAATAAATGATTTATTTATTTTTTTAATTGTGATTAACGAGATGATTAATGTTATTTTTATGTATACATAAATGAATCAAGGGTTAATAAGACGAAAAAACCCCAAATTGGTACACCGGTGACAAATTTATCCCAAACTAATTTTTTGACCACAAAAAAACCTCCAAACTGGTACCTTTGTGACAAATATACCCTCCGTTTGTTTATTTTAAATTGGATTAATACCACAAAAAACCACAAACGGTATACCTATGACAAACGGATGGTACACCTGTCAATTGCCACGTGTCATCCAACTCAGTAATTGGACAGTAAAATTTCACGAAAACTAATAAAGGGTGAATTTATTATAGGTGCACCGGTATGAGATTTTTGGTGGTCAAAAAATTAGATTAGGATAAATTTGTTATAGGTGTACCGATTTGGGTTTTTCGGGGTATTAACTCATGAATCAAATAGATTATTCAAGTTTAATATAAAATTAAATTATGAATGGAATTTTGGGAGGCAAATATAGAACCTTCAAAAATAGGAGCTCTCTTTTCTTTGTAACAGAGGAAAAGAAGCACCTCATACGGTGTAGCTTGAGAACACGGGACGAAGAGATCTGCACTTTTTTACATAAACATGCAGAGTCTAATGCTGCCTGATATGGACATCTAAAGAGAGAGGTGCCTCCTTGATAATGTCTTCCTCCAACAGTAATTACAAGTCGAAAGTTTCAGACGATGATCACGAAAGTTACAGAAGAAAATCCTCGAAAATCCGCCGTAAAGAACCCCAATCCAATCCGGGTTAATCCTATATCACAACCTTCTTGTCCCAAATTGATCCTCAAAACATAGCTGGGGGACGCAGGGATCTCGACTCAACACGATTAATTGATTACGTTTTCCCTACCTCTTGAGATCAACTGGAGACTTGGACAGCATCAGCAATCAACCACGAGTCTCCATTCGCTCTGAATTTCGGGAGTTGCCAACATCGAATTCCCTCATGCGACTAAGCGAGCCTCATCGGACTCAGGTATTATAATGTCGAGCCTCATCATCGGTTTGTATATCTCGGGTATCTGTGCACCTGCCTGCATGCAGAGTTCTACGACGGCGGGAGCCTTACCGTAATATGACTTGAGCGCGCTTGTCAGAGGAGGTCCCTTCGGGTCCCGCGCGTGCCACACATAGTTTGGAGGGAAAACTTCGTCCAATGTGGCATCCTGCCAGCCATGCTTACCATCCCTCCATTGGTGCTTGAATTCCCCACAGAGCTTTGCATTGTGGCCCCAAGGCCCCACATGAACCTCGGAGCAGTATCCACAAGCCTTGACTGTATATTTCTTCATCAATCTCTGGACACCAGATCGGACGGTCTGGTATGCATCCATCGTCTCTTGTGCTATCCTAGGTACCTCCGACAACAAAGGAGGTGGGAATCGCTCGCAAGCCCCATGAGTATCGAAATCGACAAGTGCAGACAAATCCGCCGAACACCATGGCCTAGGCTCTTCTACATATTCACCTCGATCAAAAACTTTCTTTCCAATCATTCTGATCGGTTTGGTTCTTCGACGCGATGGGTATTCGGGTATTTCCACGCCAGCTTGGATGCATAGCTCTACAACAGCTGGAATTCTATCATAATCAAAACGAGTCTCATGCTTGACGCGCCTTCCAAAAGGATCATAGAGGTGATATGACTCGACAGGGAGTAGAACATCATTGATGGAGCCCCGCACCCATGAGTGGGAGCTATTACGCTTTGCATTAGCTGAACCTAGGCAGTCCTGAATTTTATGGCCAGTCTCAGCCACATGAACTTCCGGGCATTTACTGTCGAAACACATAGGAAATTAGTTTCACTAGAGAGAAGACCTACTTGATGGAGTCCCTCAGCAAATGCAACATTCATCCGGAAGACCATCTACTCCATAATAATTACAGGCTAAGGAAAAAAAGAATTTACCTGCAACCATATACAGGAATAACATGCAAGAGCTGTGCAACGCCTTTGATCAGAACTTTCCAGGCATCCAGGACATCATAAGCCGCTGGAATCAGACCAGGTACTAGCAAGCCATTTTTCGGAGGTTCAAGGGGCTTCTCTATACCCATTTGAGCAAGCTTTTTGTTCATTCTCGATTCCCGCAGAATCTTTTTCAGAGGGACTGGATAGGGTTTCTTCTTTTTCTTAGGCAATATTGGTGGAAGATCGACGTTTTGGGGAAACGCTTTTTTCTTGACTGATGAATCTTGTCTAGGCCTCTGACTGGCACATAGGCATGTTCTCTTGATTTGCCGACCGAAAACTTTGCTTTGCTCATTTTCCAACTGCAGATCAAGTTGAAACTTAGATATGATGATGAGAAGTCAGCCTCCATCAGATTAATCAAGGGAGTCGCTGTCGAAACTCATGAACAGGGTAAAACATCCTTAATAGTATTACTGAAGAATTAAACTGCTCATTCATCTAGGAAGATTTAAGAAAAAAATCTCTTTGGTAGGCCTGATGTCAGGTAATCCAGTTATGCATCTTCACATTATTTTTTTCATTTTGTCTTTCACACTAACAGAGACTAAATTGGCCTTTCAAATTCTAAGGGAGACCTGGGAGTCTGGCGTACATCTTTGCAACACTCAGCATAAACAGGAAATCATCAGAAACAGTCTCATATTAACTTAACTTATAAAGTCCATATGAACTTAATGCAAGATATCCTTCTGTAACAGATGATGCAGATTGCAGGGTCCCTAACACTTGAAAAACTATCTCACGTTAATTAGCTTCTAAAGTCTAAAACATCCTTTGTCATAAAACTTGGGCATAAAAGTGTATCTTTCCATACGCGACACTAAACTTAAGCAGCCCATATTCTGGCGGTCATAATACTTCAAATGCCAAATGCTTAAACGGCATACGATTGACATGTAACAGCAGCTTTCAATCATAGCAAACAAGCACATTGCAATTTACCTAGACACATTCAGCAGATTCAAAACTTCTATCCCTTGTAGAGATATTGTCCAAACATGGGGAATAGATAGTACCAGTCCGAGCAAACAACTAAGCAATTGGAAATGGAATTTTCGGTAGCTAAGTACATAGAGGATATACTATTGGCAAAATAAACACAACATGGAAGAATGGCAGAGAAAGAATGTAAACCTTCAACCCAAGAGTATATGACCTTAAAACTGACAAATTAAGCCACTTATGCTCCATCAGACTCGGGCAGGAACCTACATAAGAAAACCATTTGCTCTCTGTTATTGTATAAAATTAAAAATGAATACAATGTCAAAAGGAATGGCTCTACAGTTTTGGTCGGGCGAGCTCAATCACAATTCTTGGCTTGTAAATCCTACTACACAATTTCAGAGATAAGCATCTGTCATGCCTGCTTTGCTGAAGGAATGAAGTCCAAAGAAAAAATGCTTCTGCATGGGAGCATAAAGTAGCTATGCCACAGCTTTCAACTGCAGATTGGAAGACATCTTTTTCCACTCTGTATCTAACTTCATTGGAAAGAGAGGTTCCCAATTGCATTTAGAAAAAGAATAGAAACAAAAGTAGCTTGTGATCAATAAGCCGATCACCAGATGTGGTTGAAAATAACACAGTTGTTTTCATGCATTCACAATTCATACTTTCGCTTTCTCAAGAAGCTAACCAAAACAACCATTAAATATCGCTCCCCCTACAATTACAGTGGAGTGGACCAAAAAAGCAAGGACGGTTATTTTCAGCAACCGTGTTATGTCAGTGCAGTATTTGCATCAAACAGATAGTATGCACACACTTTTCACAATTTGAACGACCGACAAGATGACAACAAGTGAAGTAGCAGCACCGTTTATGCAAACTAGTGGCAGTTCATTCATAAAAGGGAAAACAAAACCCAACAACACATAATTACGCAACAATGAGCCGCAAAATAAAAAGTCACACCATAAACAATCTTTTGCTATTGCAGTAAAAAGGATTAGGGTCATTTGAGGTCCTCCCAAATTCCACGGCAATAGACAAAGACGTGTCCAACAGAATGAATGCACGAAAACATAAGAAAATAAAACAAGAGCGCTCTACTTTTCTATTGATGAAAAATGAACTCTAAATTTGCAACTCACCACCCTGAGATAGAGTCCATAAAGTCGACGATGTTGAGGGCCACTGCTGGAGCATTTATATCCAAAAACTTTAGTATCTCCAATTCTTGTAATGCTGAAGAACAAAACTCGAGCTCTAAGTATAGCTGAAAAGCAAAATCAAACACTCTTCAAGCACAAAACATACAATATGTACAAACCCATTTAGCAAGACATGGGTGATGATCAGAATGAACGTACTAGTGAGAATAGAGGGGGAAAACAGAAGATGCCCATCAGGCTTTGACCCCAATGGAATGAAATTAACAAGAGAACCGTAAAGCGTAACATGAACTACCGGTCCAAAGGAAGAACCTTTTCCCACAAGATAACTCACGACCATCATTCCAAACAATTGCACAGGGAAAGGAAAGAAACAGTGAAGAAAGAAGGAGATGGAAATTGAGAACAAGGTCCGAGGTACCTACTGCTCGATGTCGTGCGTATTGGTCGGTCACTCAGAGCGGAGCTGAAGCAGACGAGATGAACATATCGTTTGTTTCGTGTGGGTGGGAATGGGAGAGCGAACTGAAGATGGTGAGTATCCAGGGCTGCAATATGACACTCCCTGTCTGCGTTCTTGAGGCCCGTCTTTGATGGCCATTGTTCAAAGTTTCACGAAGAGCGAGAACAGCCCTTGTTTTGTTTCCCAAGCTCAGGCCCAAGGAACGCCGTGCATGATCCAAAGTAAAAGTGTGCTCGGGAAGGAGGTAGATAGCTTGTGTCTCTCGCTTTTTGGGCGGGTAGGTTACAGACACCGGAAGTGATCTTGAAACCCACCCTGTTTTCCGGTCCGGTTTCAAAATCTACCCAAGGACCTATTTTTTTCATTTTATTTTTTACAGCAAAATAATATGAGTAATGAAACGGTTTAAAATAAAAGATGAACGGGGATGGGCGAGCAAAGGCAAGTCAGGAACGAGCGAGGAAGAGGGTGAGTTGCAACTGAAGTGTTTGAGTGAGGTTAGAGAGAATAAAGAAAATCAACGAGATAAAAGAAAAGATGCCAAGAGAAAAATTTAGGGTATTTAGGCTTTATGAAACCGATTCAAAATTTAGTTCTATTTTGAGTGGTTCTTCACTCGGAAAAGAAACCCGATAGGTTTTGACGAAAACCTAGAACTAGACTGTTTTTCAGGGAGGTCCGTTTTGGTGCCTAGGTAGAACAAGTCCAATTGCACAGCCCTACCGGCATGCCCATATTTTCATGAGTTGTATTCCTACTCTGCAAACTCGTGTGCAGTTTATACTTTCATGGCAACCGATATCGCTCCGACAAGAGGCATGTGGACAAGATGAGCAAAAAGTTTTCAACTGAATTGAATCACGATCTTATTTTATTGCACTTGAACTTGAGTTGAAGATTCAGAAGTGTACTCTTTTTCGAACCAAACAAAACCAATTCATGAATATCTTCACCATCACGGGAAGATAGTAACATAAACCACCCAAATACAAACAGTAACACATTTTTGGTCCCACAAAAGGACATAACTCTTTGTCGTTCTCCCCTTGACACATTGGATTTTCTCCATATTAAAATGCAATGCCATGACAGGGACAGCTTTCCAATAGTAGCTGTGAAAAGCTAATCAAACACCTTATAGAAAGACCCTACCAACTACAATAGATGTAAAAGTTTTGTTGAATAGGTACCCTCTGGTGGAGGCCAAGGGAACTCAAAGGAGTCGAAACTCTTAGTGCTCATAACTTGGGCCATCACGTATCACCCAAAATTATGCAACTTGCCGAATATGAGCTATTTTTGTCTCCGCTCCTATCTATATTTAAAAAGGTATGATGATTTTTTTTCCAATTTAACAAAAATCTTACATCCAAAGTTCAAAAGGCAAAGGCCAGATCCACAGCACAAAATTGACATTACAAGGCTTAAGGGGAGAAGGGTTGAAGTTGTTATACAAAATTGATAAATCCAAGCAGACACAAGAACACAAGGGCAAATAGATCTATCTAGTCTCTCCTGTCCAAATTTTCTAATTCTATACAACCAGAACTACAGTATTTTCCCTCCTGGCAAACACTATATGGCAACACAAGCGAAAAATCATTTACAGCTGGTTAACACGGAGTTTATCACATGCATGAGAAGGCGGATGCTGTTGGCTTCAGAAGCAGAGAGGGTGGGGAGATTTCGATGATGTCCTAGTATCTGGTACACCTGTTCAAAGATTGGTCTCACGTGCACTGCAATCATTGGATCAGCTGGGTTGATGACGACTGCAACTTCCGTCATCCAACTCACCTTCCTCGGTGTTTCCTTGGTCATATCACAAGCCAACTGCTGTAGAAGTGCAAGAAGCACTCCCTGGCTCAATGGTAGTGGAGAGATGGACAAGATCTTCTGCAGATCAACCTGGCAATCACAGAATAGAGTCAACCATATAATGTAGCTTCCGACTCATTTTCATAGCAAACAAACACCATATGAATCAGGTATTCATAGTCATTGCCCCTACTTCGGGCTATCGATATAATGTGACGATGGAATAAGAAAAATATGAGGCACAACCAATAAAGCCCTTCAGATCCAGCGTCATTAACAAAAATGCACCAGAAACCAGACAACCTAATAGCTCCGAGCCAAACATGTGAACTTGTCAATAATCCTTTTGCTTACTACCTTTGATTGATAAGGAGAAGGTATATATCCCAACTACAGAACAGGTAAAGAGAGCCCCATCATGGAGAACTTTGTAAATTTTTTTTTTTGGTTGAATAGGACTTTGTAATTGAAAAGGCTGAGGGGCAAAGACTAAATAAATACTAGAAATTGTACAAGCCGACAGGGATCACTTGAAAAAAGAAGCACTAGTCAAGCGATCCATAATCATTTCGCCTGTATTAAAGATTGACATAAAGAAGTGGCAGTGTGGCAGCTAATTGGTTTGCTGCTTTCAGTCCTTTCTCAAGAGTATATATAGCATAAAAAGTAAGACAAGAGTTTGAAGACAAACCAATGGAGCAGAGACTAACATACCTGACTACATAGCCAAGATACTATTGATACGTCACTTTTGTGTAGGGCTGCAGTAAAGGCTTCTTCATACTTGTTCTCAGCTATCAATCTGGATAACTCTTTAGTTGGATCAATTGGTGCCTCAGCCTGTTGCATAACATATTAAATATTTGTCAAGGATGAAAGGAACTTCAGATACGGAAGCACCACATGCTTTACAGATGATTTTCAGATAACAAAAGGACACATTTTGGAGCCTATTTAACAAGAGAATGGTTGCCGGGAACATACAATATCATGCAGACCGGGCAATGGCCCGTTACTCAACTGAGTAACCAAGGGATTTGCAACATTAGAACTTGCACCAGCAGTTGCGATAGCTAAGAGCTTGCGCTGGCCCTCAATAAGTTCTCCACTTAATGTCTGAGTCATCGATGAAGCTGAACTGATGGCATCCTGCAGTACAGACCCACACCACTTAAATGGATTATGCTATACAACAAAGAAATAGCAGCAAAAATTTAGCCATATGAAGACAGCAGCGCAGAACATGCTTTCTTTCCTATCAATTCTGTACACATCGATGAGAAAGTTCCATGATGCCACAAGGAGGATGATACCTTCAATTAGACAAGTAAAAACTATTCCTATAATGTACAACCAAAAAAGAAACAATGGAGAATTACATATGTGGAAATACCCACCCTTAGAGCAATGGCCAGGGGAGAGTGAGTAGACTCAAGTTGCTGCTGAGTAGCAGTGATATGTTTCATGAGTCCTTTCTGAATAGTAGCGTCAACTTGCTCGAACATTGCTTTGCATGACAACTCAAAAGCAGGTATTATGGATGCTTCCAAGCTGGACCTTAGTGTCTCCTGAAAGAAGAAAGTTTATTTAGCAAAGTTAGAATACTATTGCAGACAATTTCGAAATCAGAATAAACCACGAAACTCTCAAAGAAACCAAAGCCAGAAGCCATGGTATCAGATTGATATATACCAGTGCCAGAAATGATTCACCATTGAAGTTGAGAAAATTAATGCAGATACAATATCCGTATGCTCTAGAATCCAGACTTTACCCTTTTCTGGTTATATACATTATATTTATTTATTAAAATAAAGAAACTATTCTGGTGCATTAGAGACATACAACAGAGAAATCCACACATCACAGACATATCAGCATTTGAGGGAAGAGAAAAGAGCAGTAAATCCATTCACAAATTAATTTCTTATAAAGCAACCATTTCAGCTTAAAATTCCACATATGAAGTACTCATATCAATCTTAAGCCACATGGATAATCTCATTCTTTAAACACTGGAAGCCAGGTAAGTAAAAGCAAATCATTACTGAGATGTACTAGCCTTGGTTATATTGATCAAGTTTGTTCCCAACTAGTTTCAGTTAGAAACTCATAGAAAATATAAATAGCTTTCACATTGACGTAGATTTTGGCCGAATTTGATTTAAACTGGCACACACAAGCTGTTAAAAATGAACTTTTGGGTAGATGAAATCCCAACTGGACTACACCATTTGAGAACCTTACTCTTGCAATAAAGGTTAGCTTATAAATTTTTACCTTAAGCAAAAGAAATTGATACCAATTGGTGACTTATTTAAAGGAAACTTATAGGCGACTAGCAAATTACGGATGAAGAACTCACAAATGGTGAAAAAAGTTCTTGGAAGAGTTTTAAACCGCAATTACCTGGAGAGCCTGCTTTCCGAAAGTCTGAAATTGCGATTGAATTTGCCTCCCTAATACAGCTTCTAATTTGGAGTTGACCGCCTTCTCCAGCTGGTTAACTGTCTTATCACCCACTCCTTTCTGAATAAAAAGCACAAGAAAGCAAATTTAGAGACGTAAGTAATGCTTCGTGGCAACCGATACCTTTCACCACAAAAATAAAAAAAATAAGGTAAGGCAAGAGTTGCTATATGACTTCTGGTGACAGAAAAAAATGCTCATACCTGGAATGACTCTGTTATGGCCACTGGTATGCTCTTCTCAATAATTGGACTGAGTGCACGAACTACAGATGGTCCAATTGCAGCTATTTCCTTCTTTATAGTTTTCTCCAGCATCGCCGGCAAATCCTTGTTCACAGAGTTAGTGATAAGATTTGGAATCTGTTGGGCTCGGTCACGCTCTAACTTTTCATGTTTAGCATTTTCTTCTTGGAAACGAGCCCACAGAGCATCAGCATTTGCTTTAACAACTTTCTCCATATTTCGTCCAAGAGATGTTTCCAGTCTCCTACTCTCTTTGTTAAATGGGACAGACACAACTGTTGCCATCTGCTTCTGCATTTCCTTTTGCATGCTTATTAACTGTTTCATATTGAGAAGCAGCAAGAATCAGCCATCTAGAATATTCTCTTCTAGGTGTGAAAAAGGGTGGATGCTCTAGCAAGGTTGTATATGCTCATAGCAGCAAAGTGGAAGATAGTAATCCATATGGATGAGACGCGATCTACGATAATTTGGTAGTGTTTGGCTAGTCCAAAAGCTACTACAGATTCATCTATAAAGTAGACTCCACTGTCTCATCTTCGTAATTTGTACAGCTCCGCAACTGAAGTCTATTATTGGTCAATACCTGGACTTGCTCCCTTGAATCCAATTGATTTACTTATAATTGTGTATTTTGATTCTATTAGTACTTCAGAATGTTTCGAAAAGCTCAAGTTGAGGGCCATAATTCATTCTAAAGGAAGATCATCCCATTCTAAGAATGTTTGGCTCCTTTTGAATCAAATGCTTGATCTTGTGGTTCTTGGTGCTTCCAAATCATCTAATTTACTATTAATTGTGTTCATTTTGATTCTATTAGTACTTTGGAATGTTTGGAGCTCCAGTTGAGGGCCATAGTTTAGTCTAAAGGAAGAACATCCCATTCTAAAAAAACGTTTCGCTCCTTTTGGGTCAAATGCTTGATCTTGTGGATTATGGAAGAGAATATCCAGACTTGCTCATTGTACCTAACTCTTCTTTAGGGAAAACCGAAAGGAAAACCAATCACTAGAACCGATGTCAGAGACTCTCTCATGTATTAATTTCAACTTTAACAGATTGTTTCCACTATCAGTAGAATTCATCCATTTCCTTTTGAGGTAGCATTGAACTTTTGCTCAATATTTTGACCTATACTTGGGAAAAAACGAAATAGAGATCTATACACAGAAACTTCATATGTGTAACTAGACGTAAGCTGGAAAAAGGAGGGCAGGTATGATGTATTACAACAGAAACGGTGGAAAACAGCAGAGAGGGTAATTTGTTGTGCACTTCAAATGCCTAAAAAGGAAGAACTACTAGTTTATAAACTAAAGGTTACACTATAGTATCATACACGCAGATGTATTAACAACGCAATCAGCTTCCCCTGAAATCTAGACATTAATGCGAGACTTTTAATAACTCGAAGATGTCACACAAACATCATGATACACTACAAACCGTGAAAGCAATTTTTGAGGCACTGAAGGCCCATTGCATATGCTTGCATTTGCATACAGCCCGATTCCAGCTGAAGCAATAAATACATCCCAGTTTTTTAGCACCATAACAATATTGGAGCTGATAGCTCACACTAAGGACGGAAATATCAGAGAACATAAGGCGTCAGGAGGTAAATCAATCTCAATCATGTAACAGAATAATAAGGATACAAAGGACCATCAACATATAAATATCAAGTCATCATAAGCAAAACACAAAATTAACATAAATGCAAAGTCATCACAAGCAACACACTAAATCAAAATCAATCGCAAAACCTAGCCAGTGCAAACAAAGAGAGAAGCACTGGAATACCGCAGAAAAATGTAATGTATGAATCTTTCATGGACACAAATAGCAGAAGGACTAAAATAAAAAATGCAGTAAGTTCTTGTCATGTAAGCGGTAACTATCCATGTTGCATAGGACCCATTAGGATGAGCTCAGAATAGTCAAGTGGATGGAACAAGAATCGATTACCTGGTCAAGGGACTCCTGCATAGCTAACAACTGGGAAAATGCAACATCCGCTGATGGGGCACCTGAACTACTGCCTGGGTCATTTGATGAATCTGTGGAGTTAAAAGGACTTGGGGATGGGGAAGAAGGGCCGGACACTAGAGAAGTTTTTCCTTTCTGTCTTTTGGCTTTAGAAGTTGGGGCTAAGGACTGGGGAACAGCCGCTGGAGTTTCTGACTCACCAACCTTCATAAAAGCATTGTTTGTCATTCCTTCATCACTGTTAGAGGGAAACTGATCTGAAGACTCACTAACACCAACATCATTAGTCTGATGAGCTCCTTCCACGCTGTAATTATCAACGCGACAATCTCTAGCCATCTGAATGCCAAGATCAGAAGCCTGAGAGTAGAAAGACTTCTCTTTTTGTTCAGCAATAGTTATTTGAGATTCTCTACGGAAGCTGTAATCATCATTCTGATCAATTCCTGTCTCCCCAACAACTTTAACCTCAACCTCCGTGCTTGCCGTGTCATTATTGACGACCACATCTTGAATTTTTGCCTCTCCCATGCTCATACCTTGACTAATTTGAGTCTCAGAGGAGGATGGAGCCTTGGATAAAATTTCCGATGGAGTCACAAGATGAGTTGGATGCTTAAAAACCATTGGAGGATCTGGAACCACTGGTATATCATTTGACGCAACATTTTTGTCATCCTTCCTCAAATCATCACATGGAGCTGGTCCGTCGGCACCAATCTCCAGTCTCCTATCAGATGAATATTCAACAACCGGCTGATCACCAGAATGATCAGGGAATGCAGGACCGGGCTCAAAGCTACCTACTGGAGTTCTGAAACCAGAGGACTTCCGCGACAGCCTAGGACTCAAAGGAAGAGGAGGAGAAGCAATGTGGATTTGTTCAACAGTTCTTGGAGATGGCAAAGCACTTAGCTTTGTCTCTAAGCCAGAAGTAATGGTCTCAGGCAAGGTAGTAATTTGAGAAGAAGGCACTCTTGCAGGGGGCGCCGCTCCAGGGGCACTACCAGCACCGCTCGAAAGCACAGATGGAACCAAAGTGGCATTACCTGATGTTATCTCAGAATGCTTAGTTCCTTGAGAAACTTCCAAGTTAGCAAATCCATCAGGATTGGCAGCATCAAATGCGCGAGAGACATTAGATTCTGTCTTCTCTAACTCGGTGTTATCCAAGGGTGGTGGCAGGCACTGGGACAACGCCAATGCATACTGCTGAATGGCTTGTGTTTGGACACAATACACCTGCACAATGTGTTCCCCATCCGGTAAACTCTCGCTAGTTCCAGTGATACTCAAAATGGGCATTGTAACTGTAAATTCAGCCATATAGTCCATGCGGGTTGCAGCAGGATGAAGCCCATAATCTATGTGCACTGCATATATAGCATTCTTCTTTGCATTCGCAAGTAAAAGAAGCCCTGCACGAGGTAACGCCACAACTTGATTAAAGAATGCATCCTCAACCCGGAGTTCACCGGAACTCTTTAACTCCAAGGTCTGAGTACATTGCCAGGATTCAGAATCACTAGGCAACAACCATCCCTCTTCGAGGGAAGAGGTCCATATCTTGACTTCTCGATTCACCGGACCCTACAAATGATATAAATCAGCGTGAGATGTAATTAAATCTCAGGAGAATGCATTAACTTGGAATTCTGATTTATGAAAGGCCACACACTCTGTCAAAATTAGAACTTATCCTAAAGAAACCAACAATTGAGGGCAGAATGAAAACAGGGACCGTAATGTCAATAAAAGAGAAGCTGACCCCTGTGATAAGAACGATGTGATCTGGACGGTGGGGAGCAGTCAAAAAGGTGACAGAGTTGACAGCATGACCATCATGAGGCCTCAGAACTGCAAGTGGTAATGGCTTGCGGTCTTCCCAAATTTTCACCTGCAAATCAAGCGCTGCCGTAAGCAAATCTCATGTAGCAAGAAAAATCTGCGACGTGATTTGATGACACAAACATGGGTCTAAATGCCAAGCCCATTAATTAGGTCAATTGATAGAATACCTGCCCAATTTAATCACCTTCTAACATTAGAAAAACACTGTGCTATAGCAACCAACCTGCACCCTCGTCAATAAATTACTGAAGATAGACTATTCTGTTAAAACATTTTCTTTATGTGACGACAAAGCTATCATGTAAATGCCTCTCCCCTCTATGAAAAAATGAATGAGTGCTTCAATTCGTCAAAGACCAAAAGACATTGAAAACACTTTCTGATCCAAATTTTTTGATAATCTTACTATTTCTATTGATCCCAAATCATTTGCGCAGCTTCTAGAAACGACGGGGATCTATCACACCACAATAGTTACATATCAGCACTTCCATCACCACTAGACTCTTAAGGAAAAAAATTTGAATGTTAGCAGTAATGGAGGATAATTCATAATCGTATGTGTTAGTTAAACCGACCTAAGATAATACATTTATGTAAGGACAAATATGTCATTTATTATCAGGTTAGCTGCCTCAGCTAATCAGCATCTGTTGAGACCAAAGCCCAAGACGCCAGTCTTTTCAGATATTATTCATCTTGACAACTTGCAGAGTAAGCAAGAGAGGGATGGAGTCAACATCATTAACCAGGGACGGTCAAATCATAACGGACATTCAACATAAAAATATTTTATACTTTATCAGGGTAACCACTAGAATCATTTGGTTGAATCTCTCCGAGCAATCTAGATGAAGTAGATAACTTTTTATTCTAAAACTGACAAAAGATTTCCTCTTTCAATATCCAAAGGTCCTGGAAGCCGTGCAAAGCTAGCAAGCTCACCACAAAAAAAAACTAGAATACCACAAATGCATGACCATATTCGGGAGTAAAGAACTATACAAACCGTTCCATCCACTGAAGCTGAGGCCAGTCGGCTAGTCATCCATTGGCACATTGACAAATCTGTCACTACTGCATCATGTTTACCAACAATCTGGACGCCATCAATTAGCTTATCCATGGGACACTTTAGAGGTTCCTCAGCTGTGAACGATTCTGCTTTACCAACTTTTGTGGTATCGATCTTCAGGATACGGTTTCCAATTGCAACCATCAAAATTTCCTGCAGTTTTAAGTAACCAAAAAAAGACGAGTAAACTAGCAAGTCAAAAGATTAAAACAAATACCAACAGAACACAACCTGGACAGCGGATAGGTCTCGTAAAACTTTTTCTTACTTGCTTGTGAGGATGCCAACATAGTCGTGGATGCACAGGTTCTTCCTCTCCCACAATCTGAACGGCAATGACAATTTTCCCCGAGATTTGAGCCTTCTCCTCCTCCTCTGCACCTTCATGAATCTTCCATATGAAGATCCTCCCGTCAATGCTTGCACTGCAAAAGTTAAAATTTAGCGCACTTCAACATATACCCATTAAAGCGGCTTTTTTATTTTATTATATGGTTGTCACAAATTACCTGGCCAAAAGGTGAACATCCTCAGCAAAGAAAGCCATATCTGTTACTCTCTGAATCGGAAAAAAGAACAATAAAGACCTAATCGAAACACGATATCCGACCATAAATGAAAAGACAACGATAAAGTTCAATTTTTCCATTCAACCCGTGTTCTTACTTGGTGGAGAGTGATGCAGTGCATAAACAATCCATGAGAATTACCGAACTTACGGCGTCAACCAACTCGGAGATCTTACAACTACTCTCAACAATACAGAGCATACAAACTGAACACCAACACAAGGAAGCAGGGAGATCGCACCTGTGTATGACCTCGCAACAAAGACCTCAGCGCGGTATTTATATTAAGAACCCTAATATTCCCCATCTTCAACCCGTAGCATATATAATTCCGGTTAACGGCAATCTGACGGCCCAAGACCAAACCCGGATCCGACACGTACTTAGTAATCGGAGTGACCTCGAGCTGAGGCTGAACTTCACCCTGCAATCTAACGTCGATGTCGTAAACCAAATGATCGCCGATCAAATGCCGACCTTTCGGGAGCTTACTACTGAGCATCCGAACTGGCGCGCCGCACTGCGCCGCCGCGAAACCGACCGGCGGGGCAGAAGGGGCCGTCGTCAAGTTCAGGTTCGCGTGCACCCCGAAATCGGACGGGGCGGACGGCGACGGGGCGAAAGCCGCCGCCGACGACTGCGGAGCCAGATCGTGGGGATTAGGGTTAGGGTTTTGGGTGCCCAGGAGGGCCATCAGCCGGGCGCCGCTCGAATTGGGATCGGCCGAGGGCGAGGGCAAGGGCGGGGCGGGGTAGGACGAGATGGGCGGCCGCGGCGGGGGCGGCGGGTGGTGGAGCTGCTGGTGCTGGAAGAAATGGAGGTTCTGCTGCTGCTGCTGCTGCTGCTGCGGCGGCGGCGGCGGGGGAGGCGGCTGCAGGGTGTAGGGCAGGTAGTGGTAGGGGAGGGGGCCGGTGGGGGGCGGGTAGGAGGAGGCGGTGGGGTATGGAGGGGAGGAGGAAGGGATGATGGGGTTGCTGGAGGAGGGGCGTAACAGCTTCTGGAGCTCGAATTGCGGGTTCTGCTGGGGATGGTTGGGGTTACCGGGGGACGCCATGGAAGGTGTTCGATGAAATGACTAGGAGAGAGAGAGAGAGAGGGAGAGAGAGAGAGGGAAGATGAGTCCTTGCCAATCGTGGGTAGTGGCGAGAACTGAAGGTGGGGGGGTCGGGAAGGAAGGTGGGTTCTCTCGTTCTTGTACGGAGAGAGAGATTCAAGAAGAGGGGGGAGGGGACATGGATCCGGCGATTGAGATCAAGATTCAAAGGCGTCACCTTTATCACTCTCTCTCTCGCCTGCTGTGTCTCGGCGACCCAAGTGACCAATCTCACACCAGAGATAGAGAGAGAGAGAGAGAGAGAGAGAGAGAGAGTGTATAAAAAATGGGGGGAGAGAGAGAGAGAGAGAAAGAGAGGGAGAAGGAGAGTGCAATTTGGATCGAAGTTTGGAGAGGAGACGGAAATGGGAGTGCTCTAGCATGGACTAAGGTGGGGTGGGACATGGAAGGGGAAAAAGAAAGTAATAGAACTTCCAATAATGATATTTATCATCATTTTCAACCCCTTTTTATTCTTTTTTCTCTTTCGATTGGCCGATGATGACATCTTATCTTTGGCCGGACTGAGTGATATTACCCGTGAACATATTGAGCAATATAATATGGAGTATTATATAACATTGCGATTTTAGCTCTTTCTGACAAATCATTATCCTAAACGTATGTGACTGAATATGACAAACATACATTTTATATCATGAAATATAAGCAATCATCTTGATGGATAAATTTACACTTCGAAAAACTGTCAGATCTTGTGCAGGCGACATGGTTATTGCAAGTCCCATGTAGTCTTTTCTTTCTCGGTAAATTTAGTTGCCAGCGCACAAAACTGAGGAAAGCCCAATTAAAACCCATCAACGGCAGCTGGGCTAAAAAACATTACAAGACTAAACAAAACAGGAGACGAGTAAAAGAATGATTTTAACAGAGAACAGCATTGCAAGCAAGCTGCTGCACCAAAGAGCTCTGACATGTGGACACAAAACTCGAGCTTTTTCCATTGGAATTTGCAAGGACATCTTCACCCAGACAGCAGTGAGAATGATATCCTGTGTGCCCTATTATCAACTTGAGGAGCAACATCATCATGAATAGCTGTACTCCTCTCCCTCCAAGGCCAATTTCAGTGACTTCTTGACAAAGGACTTGCCTTTCAAATACATCACTGCCCAGTCCAACTCCGAATTCCAATCTCCAATAGCACGATGAACGCCATCAGCAACATATAGAAAAAGATTCCAGACTATCTTCTTAGAGGAGCAATTAAAGAACAAATGTGCATCAGGAGCCAACCCACAGAAAACACTAGGTGTCGATCACTGGCTTCCACTGTTTAACCCTGTCAAGAGTCTGCAATGGCTGTTGCATGTCTCGGATCTATTTCATTTGTGATGAATAGATATGATTACTCTGCTTTATTTTAATGTTCCTGGAGATGATAATCGGTGATCATGAGCCCGGCGCCTGACTGAGCCCCCGAGACCTGTAAGACATGAGGCATAAATGGGTAAAATTTTGACAAACTAATTTCTTCTTCGCCTAGCCTTGCCAATCAGACCAGAGCAGAACCATTCATGCCCAATACAGAAATCATGGATAGAATTGGACAAGGAGTTTTAAATTGGGAATAGCAGGCCTCACCATTCTGGTCTCGGTCTTGCTTATTGATCAGGTCTTGCCCTATCAGTGCAAGCAGCCAAACCGACAACCACACCCGGAAAAACTCCTTCCATGGAAACCAGTTAAAATAGAACTTTGAAAAAAAAAAGAGAAGCAATAGTCCATCCGAAGTAATAGCAATAAACTCAAAAGATACCTTGTGAAATGAAACAGAAGTTCCATTTGCCACAGAACGGACAATGGATGAAGAGTTTATCATACATTATTCAACTATCTTACACTTAACATTAGAAAATCAGCTAGAACAACTTTACAAGTCATGAGATAATCTCAAAGTACTTCGAGATAAGAGATTGAAATTAAAAGGAGGCCAAAATGTGCAAGTCAGATCGACACATTTAACTGCAACAACCTCCGCTTTGAGGTGGAGCACCATCTCTGCCGCCTGAAGGTCCTTGGATTCCCCCGTATCCAACTTTTATTCCGTAAGACTACAACAAGGACCAAGCAAGCAAAATAAGTTTAAACCAGGAAAGCAGAAGAATTGAAATCCAAGACACTTTGACAAAGTTTATGCAATGATGGCAAGTCCTTGCAGATATTTTCATCCTATTAACTGAATGAACACGGTTACTTGTCTAGATGTTTTACTTTAAACACAGGTACAGCCTCAGACCTCCAAAGTTTTCACAAATTTGGGAGAGAGTCTACCTCATTTGAGACATCCAAAACACCATCCTGGATTTTCTTGTAGATTGTTGCGGCTGTCTTGATAAACGCCTATGCAAAATTTCTTCAAATCAGTCGTCATCGTAAAGAAGCATCTGAACAGACACATAAAAGGAAATAATATTCTCTTTCTACAACATAAAATCAGGATATTTCTCACCTCTTCCACATTTTGAGCAGTTTTGGCAGAGGCTTCCATGAAAATCAATCCATGCTCTTTGGCGAACTGTTCACCTTCCTCTGTGCTTACAGCTCTTCTGTGAGCAAGATCGCACTTGTTACCGATAAGCATAATCGTCATGTTAGCATTTGCATGCTGCCTTGCGTCCTCCAGCCAACTAGCCAAGTGATTGAAAGTCTCTCGCCTGAACCATACAATAATCAGTACTGTCAAGTCCAAACACTCGATCTGAAAGATATGTCAAGATGAATGAACTACCAAACACAGGGCATCATAAGACTAAAAGCACCAAAAACCTGAGCTACCCTACTGCATTTACATACTAGGAATATATCGGGCTGAGAGTTGAATCGGCAGACCCAAGAACATCTGCATCCCCCCGCTACCCCCACTCCTTATACTTACAAGATAAAAGTTACCAATGAGAGGGCCTCTTTTCCCCTCATTTTTCTTTCAAAGATTCCTAAAAAGCTAGACTGCCAAAAAATGATTACACAAGTTTGGGAAGAAAATAATACCGTGTGATGTCGTAGACAAGCAATGCACCGGCAGCCCCTCTGTAGTATGATCGGGTGATAGATCTGAAGGATTCTTGCCCCGCCTGGCAAAAGTATTTAAACTTTCATATGAGATAACAAAACGATTAGACATTGGAGAAACATATCATTACAATACCGAATTCCCTTCCTAGTTTCACCGTGTTCTCAATGTTATTTGATGGGGAGACAAAATCTAACAAAGGAATTGTGGACTTGACAACAGCAACAATGATGCAAGATAACGAAAAACCAGCAGCGAACTAGCCAGTGAGACATCAGCAATTTCTAAAAGCTTAATGGAAGCCCACACAAACCGGTCCTTCTTTGTATTGAAGTGGAAGAAGTTGCTTCATTCGGCCGCGCAAAAGTTAAATTCTCCACATAGTTTCAAAAATACATAGAGGAGAGATAACCAACCGTATCCCAGATCTGCAGCTTAATCGGTTTGTTGTCAATTGTGATCATCCTGGCTCCAAATTCAACCCCGATTGTCAAATCATGCACGGGCTGGAAACGCTTGTCGGTGAACTGAAGAAGAAGGCATGATTTCCCCACTCCTACAGAGAACGAAAAGGCGACGAAAAGTAAAACACACATGCGAGATGCCGAAAAGACTTCAAATTTCAAAAAGGGTCAGTCTCAAACCAGCCACAGCACAACAGATTGAGAAACTTAAAATTTCAAAAAAGGGTCAGTCTCAAACCAGCCACAGCACAACAGATTGAGAAACTCCAATCAACCAATACACACAGCAAACGCATGCCCATCAAACGGTTTCGACACGAAAGCCTAAATTCACCATAAGCGCACGCTTAAACTTCACCAATACCGAACTCCAGAAATCATCAAAGATCATCATCAAGCCAAGTAATTCTCAATTCACCCTCCACGCCCATCAACCCGAATAACCCGAAAACGCGAAGCTCGAAAACCAAACGACCCAAAGCAAAAGATGCAACCGCGCATCACTATCTAAACCCCTCGTCACGAAGGCAATACGAACAACACCCACGTCGCGAACTTCGCAGACGAAAAAAACGCACGAAGAGATTCCGCGACGGACAATGCAATAGGAAGAGAGGCCGGAGGCGCTAACCGGTGTCGCCGATGATGATGTACTTGAAGAGGTAGGCGTACGACATCGCCGGCGCCCACAGAAGTTCGAAGAACGAGAAACTCCCCCGGAGACGCCGCGCGCAACCGGAGCAGCCAAAGCTCGAACGTATTTGAAGGAGCGAAGAGAGAGAGAGACAGAGAGAGAGAGAGAGGGAGAGTCAAAGGAGAGAGAAAGTCAAAGGAGAGTCGTCGCTTCGTTTCGACGAGGCTTCGGATCCAGCGAGGAAAACGACGATGGCGGTGTGCGTACCTCTCTCTCTCTCTCTCTTCGCGGTAGATCCTCGCTGTCGTCTCCGGCTTCTCCGCCACCCCGCACGGCGGAGAGAGAGAGAGAGAGAGAGAGAGAGTGGCCCACATCATATATACGCTCGCTAAATTTAATCTGGACCGTCGAGATCTTGGAAAGAAAAACATTCGCGTCGGATTTCACATGAAATCTACCGTTTTTTAAATTACTCGAATTTAAATTAATGTGTAAACTAAAACTTTTTATTAAAATAATTCCTCATGGAATGTCGAACCAAGCATATCTCGTGCCGTGCATGCATTTATGGGGCGCGTACAAATAGTCCATCGTCTTTGATCCGATGTGTAATGTGATTCCTGAATTTTTAATTTTTTCATTGTGACCCTGAAACTTTACTCCAATGTGCAATGGGGTTCCTGAACTTTTATTTTGCTTTAATGTGATTCATGGGCTTTTTGTACATATTTAATGTAATCATCGAACTATATGAAAGTATGCAATGGTGTCCCTAAATTAATTCAATATCAAAGACGACATCGAACATTTTCATATAATTCAGGGATTATATTGAATAAATTAAACGTTCAGAGACCACATTGCATAATGGATTACAGTTTACGGACCATTTGTGTCATTTTCCACGTATAATGATACGTACAAACATTTATTACGCAATTGGCCATGGTAAAAGCCTTATATTAAAATTGGGACGAGATAAAATTAGGAGGATCGAGAGAAGAAATCTTTCGAAAGTTCACGATAGGGATGAATAAACTTTCCAAATAAAAAAAAATCTAAAAGCATAATATGTGTCAATTTATTCGTACCTATCCTAAACTTGCCTAAAAAAAAAAATTCTTTGACCCTACATCAACATGCATTAATAACGTATCGACTGCATAAGGATGAGATCGACTTCACGAGACTTCCGAACCATCAAAATCTAAAAAGCGTTCACGTAAAATCCATGTGGGATCTATCATTTTTAATAATTTGAATTCAATTTAGTTCATATACAAAATTTATAAAGTAATTCCTTACAAATGATAAGTACATATACTTATTGCGTATCTGATCATGATAATAACTTTATATTACAAGCAGATGAGATAAAACTATGAGCATCAAAAGATGTAATCTTTCGAATTATTCAGATAAGGACAATTAATCGACACATATTAGGCCGACAATACAATTATATCAATATATGTGTAGAACGTATCGAGCAAATAAAGATAAGATTGACTTCACGAGACTATTTAAACTCGATCTATTTTCTTTAGTTTTTTGTGGGTCGAATTCGAAAAAAAAAATGAATAAATGCTGTTTACTTATTACAACTAATTAGTTACCGTGACCATAGCTCGACACTATTCAAACTCGATATATTTTCTTTGGTTTTTCGTGGGTCGAATTTGAAAAAAAGTTGAATAAATGCTCTTTACTTATTACAACTAATTAGTTACCATGACTGAAGCTCGAGACTATTTAAACTCGATCTATTTTCTTTGGTTTTTCGTGGGTCGAATTCGGAAAAAAAAAATGAATAAATGCTCTTTACTTAATGCAACTAATTTGCTACCTCGGCCTAAGCTTGAGAGTCATCGTGGCACCACTCAAATATTATCTTTTTTGTTTGGTGAAAGAAAATAAAAAATTAATAGGAGATTAATTTATTCTTTTTTTTTGGGCTTGATGAAGGAGATTTGAAAAATTAATAAAGTCAAAATAGATATATAATTCAGAGAAAAAACATTTTTTTTACTATGATAATTGGCATAGTTATTCTCTATAATTGTCTTTTGATAGAATCAAATTATAAATTTAATTTAATTTAGAAAAATAATCAACTAAAAGTAATGGATAAAGATAATAAAATCCGGTCCTGTATCAGTTAATCATCAATTAATAAAGAGGGGGCCTCTAAAGATTAATTTAACTGTAAATGACTAAATAAATATTACTGTAAATGACTAAATTAATATAACTGTAAATGACTAAATAAATATGATCTTAAAAAAAAAAAAAAAAAAACAAAGGAGCATGGACTGATGTATCATTGCATGATCTCACTATGGACATTGCCCTTCCACGAGCAGGTGATTCTGTATAGACTGCCGAATCATATTGCAATATCTACTTTCTGCTAGTTCTACTGCAACACAATCCCTCCACTCCAGAGCACCATGAGTTTCATTTTTGTCAATCGGGACTGCAGTCGCGTCCGTCATTCCGATCATCTATTCAAAGTTTCTTCTGGTTAATATGAATCTGTATACTAGACCGAGGTGGATGTGAATCTGTGATGCTGTACTTCTGAGGCTTCCGAGACCGCAAGACCGAAAGGAAGGCCTCAATAAGAGATGACAATGTCCCATGAGCTGGTTCTCGCGGGAATTCGTATTTTCAGTAACTTGTCTTCTCTGAATTCAAACTCTCTCTCCTCCGAGTTCACGGCGCAAGACCTGGGTCTTGTGCTGGAATATGCTCCAAATGTGCCCGGTCCTCTCCCTTTGATGTGTATTCCAGAATCGGAAGATTTGCTGCAAATATCAACTGCTCGAATGGCGCCACCTGAATTGTACATGTCTATCAACCCGATTGGTGCAAACTGAACCTTCTGATTGTGAACCTGGATAATCAGACCACATCTTAGAGTGTGCATATTCCGGAGGATCCCACCAAAATATTTTAACTAGGTGAAGCTATAGATACCTTAATAGGAGAAATGGTCAAGATGTCGCACTCTAAAACCTTCAAGGTGACATTCATCGACTCTTCCACGGACAATCGGCGTACAGAGCCTATTCGCATTGACACAAGGCCGAAGCATGAGCAATTGGACATTGCCAATCAATGTATTCGTGCGGTTGTTATTCTAACTGGATGCATATAAGACAGGCAGCAAAGGAGTCATAACGTACCAGTCTTGAAGGAAAAGATCGCACAATCTCTGGTCCATGAATCCCCAGTAACCTCTTCCAAATACTCTACATCAGATGGAGAAACTGACGCAGATATCTCTGGAGCAGCATCCTCAATGACTTTCTTGTCCGTGCAAGGCCAGCTTCCTGCTCCTTGGCAATTGAAAATGCCAAGAACACCGGTACAGTTGTTCATGTTCCAAATCTTCAGAAGACTGCAAAAGAGACTTAGAGGCATCAAGCAGTTGGAAAATGAACGGAGAATGAGCTCCGTCTTACTAGTGAAAACGTCAAGATACCTTTTTCCATCCATAACTGGGTCAATGAATAGGCAATCACGAGAAGGCCTGCCAGGGTATTTTGCTCTAAGAACCGAGCCATCAGGAAGCACAAGCTTTTTAAGTATCTCGAAGTCATGATTTCCAGGTTTATCACTGGCATAAAATGGGGACAAAATGAATAAGCAAAACCTATAAAAAGTATGGAGCATGCAGTGGTAAAAATGCATCACAGTCAAACATCAAGAGTTGTAATCTTTTAAGTTCCTAAAACATGAGAATGTGGGGCTTCTGAACAAATGATGCATACATTAAAAGGGCATGACCTTTTAGCACACGCATGAAGATGGTCATCAGGGGAATCATTGAATTAAAAAGCCATGCACATTCCATACACTGTAGATATGATGGATGTGGCTTCTTGGGCTAAACTACAAAGGAATAAGAGGTCCTAGGCTTCCTGCTAAATACATTTCGAAAGAGACAGACTATGTAATAAGCATGGCCAGAAAGAGCCAAGTTTGTCATCTTAAACAGAGACTTTGCAATGATTTGATGCCTCGTACATCTGTCTCTACAAGAGAACATTGGCACACCTTACATAGACAGGACATCCTCCCACTGCTCGAGCTACTGCATGGAACTCAGCTGCATCATGGAGGCTCTGAAGATGTAAAAAGTCGATAAATATTGTGGATATCGGCAAAGCATTAGACAGTACTATAGCAGCAAAGAGGGATGGGATATCATACGTAGAACATGTCCCAATCTGGAACAACTACTTCTCCGAGAAATATGCTATTATATGCCACAGCAGCTATGTGTAGAGTCTGAGTTGCCGGATTTTTGGGATAATAATCATCAGACGCTCGCGTTATAGCACTTCGTTGACAACTGCATGGGCAGATATGAAGCAGACATAAGATATTAAAGGTCTCTGATACCTGGTATTTCTATTCCAACTTCATAACTAGCATACGAGACATGCCATGCCAGAAAATTTGAACGAGTGATCTATTGGAGTAGGAGCTTATGTCATTAGATTCTGGTAATATATACGTTAAATAGTAACATCGAGGTTTGTGGTTAATTCACTAGCTTCCGTTGCCGAGACATATATGGTGAGTATGAGGCATTGTGCCATCATTATTCTTAACTAAAAGACGGAACTACCGGCATAACTAAAGTGAACTAATAACAAAATACAGTAAAAACTAATTTCTCTCATTCTTCACTTCCAGAAATTCAGTAATGTATTCTATTCTTTTTTAATAAAGTACAAACTTCCTTTTAAATTTAGTAATTGTATCCATTTGTTTACTTAAAGATTATCCAATAGTCCATAGTCAGGACATCTCTGGACTAAGTTTGAAGTTCAATTCAGTAATAAGCATCCTAACCATTGCCCCACTATAAAGCAATGTATCCAATTTTGAAGCAAAATATGATGGGAAATAGTAGTTATATACTGGTAAATGGAATCTGTGCCGTGACCCATACAGCAGATGATGCTGTTATCCTGGAAATTGGCAGCTATAGACTTCTCAAGGGCTTCTTGGAATTGTCTGGAAAGGGAAACACGACCTCCTAGATCTGTCGCTATTGTTTCCAGAATGTTTTGCACATCTACCTTCACTCCATCCACACCCTGAGAAACCAGGTAGCTGTGTAGATCGTCATAGAACTGAGATATTGTTGCGGGATCAATTACACCCACGCCATAATTCTCCATAGCATCCAGGGATAGGTCCCTCATATTTGCCAAATTTCCTGGTGACTGTATGGGATACTTTAAAACTGGATTATACTTTTTCATAGCTTCTGCTCCAGGAAGAAGGCCTCCCCAGTATCCCATCAAAGCATGCCATACATAGACATACCTGAAATTTATTGAGAGATACGCAAGTAAAGTCTCTCAATCAATCGGTTTCAACAAACATGACATCGTCACTGAAAAGGTCACCATAGAGAGAAGTCACAATCGTGAAATGTAGAACAGCTAAATCACGGAAACAATTTGTGGCACCTCCTCACTTTTCATTTTTCAGTCTGGTCATCGTGGTTTGCTTAAGTACATGCACAGAAAGAACAGAAAAAGCAGTTCGAGTCGTACTTAAGACCACAAGTTCCCTTGATGTCTGAAACAAATTCCTTTAAATCTGTAGGCGCCTCGCTAAGGGATCCGTTTTCAGTTCTTTGAAACTTTTGATTTTCTTTGATGCTGACTAATCTGCCACCAAACCTGCAATTTCACCAGCAGTGGAAAGACGTGTTGTAGTTTCCTAATTCGCAGTTAATCATACAACATCACAACAGCATAACTACTTACTGTGACCCTTCAACAAATGGCTCTCCTTCTTTTTGGAACTCATTACTTGTATCTTGCCACCCATCATCAATTATGATAAATTTGGCTGGTGTGCCTCCATCAGATAAACTGCAAGGAGGGAAACTTGTAATGGACACTTCTGTTCAAACTTATCAAGTTAAAAAGTTAACTTCGTTGCCTAGGATTAAAATTCCTCGAGGGCAGAAAAGGGACAGTCATTCAACTTTATAGAAGTGTTTTTCGGAGAAGCAATTTAAAAGGACCGTTTTCCCTCTCTTTTGAAAGCACAGCCAAGAGGGACCTGTGCAATTATATACATTGAAGATGCAGCAAACTGAAGTCCTCAAAACACATCGACATAGATTTTGCATGCATCTGCATCATTGACCTTTTAAGCCCCTGTCTGATTCCTTTAGGATTAACCTCTTGGTAAAAGGCATCCCAGGTGCACCAACCGAACCAATCTAAAATTGCAGGCATCTGCATCATACAAACCATCAGAAGACAATGTTAGTTGATCACCCATTTCCCATTTCGAAGCTTGATATAACTATGCAGTTGTTCAACGAAGACCTACCTGCTTCCTTTCTCGGACTGCAAATGTTCCCATCTCCTTCTCCAAGAACCTGCGTATGCAGTGAGTAAATGTAAGGGCGACAAGAACCAATTTGCAATGACTAACTCAGATTAAAATTAGTTGTCCTGAAACTTAAAGGGTCTAATTTACAAGATCATGCACTATTCAACTAATGGATTATGATTCAGACTCCTTGTAATCTTGAATTTCCAGTTCAAACAAGAAGATTGCTCAGAGGGCAGCCCTACTTCATTGATTCCTTCATCAGGTCGAATGGATTTTCCCCATAATTGACAAAAACAGCTTTTCGAGACTGTGAAGTAACTATTGCAGGGTCACCTAACAAGAATTGTAACACCCCACGTTATTAGAGTGAAAAGAGTAATACATTCAGATTAAAAACAGCTGCTGACTTGAAAAGCTTTTCATGTTCATTGTTTAAAAGCGTGTACACCACCGTAGAAACATGAGGCCCCACCGAGTGCTCCCTGGTCTATTATTCTCTTCCATATTTTCTTAGTGATAGTTGTTAATACACACATCCGTATAAACACGTGATAATGTCAGCCTGCTGAGTGCTGACTGGAGAGACAGAACATAGTTTACTTTGGATTGCAAGCAGAAAGCAACACTGGCTTTCATCAGTGAGGATGAAAAATTACCGCTTTCTATACATAGCTCGAGTTCATCCGCCAAGTTCCCCTGCAAGCTGCTTCTGAACTTGCCGTCCAACACCGGCAAGAAGAGGATGTAACTTGGCTCATCAGATGAAATGGATTCCTCCCTTACTTCCAGCAGCAACATCTGAGTTTCAATCGGAATGTCACTCCCCGAGACACCAACTCGAGGTATCATCCACCACATCTTGAATCTAAACAGGCACAGTAGCCTAATGCCCCTGCATCATCATTCACGAAAATCAAAATAACTCACATCACTTCCCTACTAAATTTTCCCTTGACATCCTTCAAATTTGATACAGCCAATTAGAATTTTCTTCACATGTAGCTGAAGGTCACAGGCAAAGAAGAAAAATCACTCACTGAATAACTCCTAGTGTAAAAACATGTCTCGAGCCCTCGACATTCGAAGTAGCTCCGACAAATGCGGACGAATTGGTCAGCGGCGTGACCACCACATTCTCTGGCACGTCCGTCAACACATCCTTGCCATCGACGCTCAGAGTCTCTTCTTTCAACACGGGCAACATCGAATGCTTCCATGTCGTCTTCGACGCCCGGCTAGCTCCGGCCAGCCGCCGGCTCTGACGATGGGAGCACGCAAATGTGCAGAACCGGGCATTGCGCGGCAGAGAACTCAGCGGAGAGCACAACGCAGCGATTGGCTGAACCATCACAAACCCAATTCACGCAGCCCCGAGTAGTCCTCGGCGAGCTAAAGCAAACGTCTCGCACAGCCCGTTCCTTCCGACCCACGAAAGCATTCGGAGGCTGTAAGCAGAGAGACCAGAAATAACGAGCGACCCGAGTGGCTAAGATGATGCTCGCGGTCCGCCATTGATTAATGTCCACAATTTTTCAACTCGGAAATTAACTAAAGACAAGATATTCGAGAACTCTTCACCTCGAGCTGTCAAATTCTGACCTTCAATGGAGTCTCCAGAGGGCGCGGGGGGGGACCGAGGACCATTGCTTCGACAGTGAAATAGATTCGAACCCGCCATTACAGATGACCACCAAGGCGAGGGTCGCCAACCATCTCCGAGATCAGGGAAAGAATGTCGACAGTCAGTCCCAGAATATCACATTATCAAACCTTTGAGAGATTTTTCATTGGGTCTATCTATGGTTGTGCTCGAACGAGGATGACATGCGCGATGCTGACACTTGTGGACTTTATTGCTAAGTCGAGCGCATTCGATAACCTTGGTATATGTCCTGTTTTGGGAGGGTGAGCAATCAGGTCGGGCCGGGCCGGGCCGGTTCCATCTGAATCCGGATCGAACTGGCTTTTTATTGACCCTGTTCGGTGCTCGGGTAAAGAAATTTGAAAACTGACTTTCATTGATTCGGCTTCCGATTCTACACCCTGAACCCTGAACGGTTCTACTCGGGAAATGGTTGGAACAGGCTTGATCCCACCCCTTTTCTAAAGTTGCTGGTCACGATGCTAATTCTGTTTGACCATACCAAATGTGAGCTTTCGATCCCTCGATTGAAATCGGCCGGTTTCAGTCGAGAGATGCCTACACTTGTGGACTGTTTTGCTAAGTCGTGCGCATTCGATAACCTTGGTAAATGTCCTATTTTGGGGAGGGTGAGCAATCGGACCGGGCCGGGCCGGGCCGATTCCATCGGAATCTGGATCGAACCGGCTTATTCTGACCTGGTTCGATGACTGGATAAAGAATATTGAAAAGTGGCTTTCCCTAATTCGGTTCCTAGTTCTACACCTAGAACCCCGGCCGGTTCTACTCGGGAAACGGTCGGAACCGGCCTGAGTCCGTTCCCGTTCTAAAGTTGCCATCGTGATGCTAATTCTGTTTAACTGTACCGAATGCAGGCTTTTGATCACTTGGTGGACAACCAGCCGGTTCCACTCTGGAGATGGTCGGAATCGGCCCGATCCCGTTCCCTTCAATTCTGTTTGATCGTACCAAATAAGTGCCTTCGGTCATTCAATTGAATCGATTAAATTAACTAGAGAAAACCATTTAATCAGCTAATTTGTGGATTAAGCAACAATCAGAAGAAATAAATACAAAATTACAAGCTACTCCCGGAGAAATATCTCAAATTGCATATTTGCCACCAAATTAAGCTAAGAAAATTGAAATTAATGTCCTAATAATTTTATTTACTCCTAACGAAGAAAACAATTCAAGCTAATTCCATATCTACTTCCTCTTGCTCCTTGGTGATCTGATCATCATGTTGCTTAACTAGGCAAGCCAACCACAATTGGGCTTCTCACGTAATGGCGTCCATCAGACCATCTCAGTCCTCCAAACACGTACTCCATCGCATGACGGGCATACTTAGCTTTCAGGGTCACCTTGAAGCTCTTCTCCTCACCGACCTGGTCGAACGTCAGTGTCCTTGGCTCGACCGAGACCAAGATGCCCGGCGGCTCGATGACCCGTGCCACGTACGTGCCGGGCGAGCCGACGTTCTTCACTCGGCGGGTGACGGTGGCCGAGCCGCGGAGATAGGGGACCGTGATCGAGGGGTAGTTGAAGTCCAGGAGGCTGATCGACTTCGGGCACTCGTAAGGGTCCTTGGAAAAGGATTGCATCAGAGTTTGGTTGTAGCCCAAGGCGCAGAGGAAGTTGAAGTAGTCGTCGGTGCTCAAGTCGTAGACTAGGCCGGGATCCATGGCGCGGTTCGGCCGCATGTGGCCCGAGCCGTGGTCGAATGGTGTCGCCTCGAGGAAGTTCGACCCGTCCAGCATCGCTTTGTTAGTGTTGTCCCTTGTCCTAGCTGTTAAGACCACAAAAATGCGAGAGTAATAACTTTCCTCAGACTTCACTAAAACGGTGAAATCATGTTAGTTCGTCATACCGAACCAATGAAAGTTTTCCAAGAAGATACCGCGCATACGATCAGCAATGTTCAGCATGTGGTGCCGATTGATGAACTATGGAAGTTCTAGGACTTAGATACAACTTCGGAAAATGGAGGACTGAATAATCCTCTAGGACTACTATTACAATCTCTGTAGTCACTTGTTTTGCCTCCTGGCAGTTTATGAAATGTGAATTTCAAGTAATTGTTTCTGTCAAATAACTCCAGGACACTAGAGAACAAAGTTAATATTTTGAGTCTCAATTGGATATTGAACTGATATTCTGTCATTGTTCATGTAATTGTCAGTTCGCCGGTATGAATTGCAGAAGGAAATTAAAAAATTACCAGTGGTCATGATTGCCGATCGAATTGAAGACACGCTCCAATCAGGGTGGAGTGCCCTGAGAAGGCCAACGACTCCCGCGACATGAGGGCAAGACATCGACGTACCAGACTCGGTGTTAAAAGGAACCCTGCGATTGTCGAAGTCCAAATCCGTAGGACTTACAGCCTCGCTGAAGGCAGCTATTATGTTGACGCCAGGAGCAGTTATATCAGGCTTAACAAAGAAACAGAAAGTTTCAATAATGAACAGTGAATTGTACCAGCCAGAAATTAATCAGAAATGCTAAACATTAAAGGCGAGACAGTATTTTTCCGGACCTTGAGGATCTCGGGCGTAACCAAGTTTGGCCCTCTTGATGAGAATGCCGCCATGAACGGCGCAGGCTTTGTGTTCAATTTTGCCGTCGGTGCAGTGATGAAACCAACCGGATTGCTGTTCCGAATAATAACAAAATGGTAAGCTAGTGTTAGGTAAGATTTGGCTTTGGATTTTGAGCATGTCTTAAGCGATAAGCATGACGATAGAGAGAGTACGCGGTGGAGTTGATGTAGGCATAGACTTGGAGGCCATCTTTGTAGGTAAGTTGAGATGCAGGAAGTAGATGCGGGTCGGCAATGATCTCGTTGCCGCTGAGCTTGTCGTTGCAGAGAATCATTCCTACTGCGCCAGCTTTCAAGGATTGTCGACCCTTGTCGACTCTCGCCGTATCGCCTCGGAGGCACACCATGATTTTGCCTGTCCCCTTCTCTGGATCCAAAGTCCCAGGCTTACACAGCATACTTCACATTGTAGCAAAAAGGAAAAAAAAATTGTCAGTACCACTCAAAGCTTGGGAGCCAAGTCATTGCAATTCTAAAACTTTGTTTCGCAATTATTACGAGTCGTTCACGGAGGCATTAGCTGCCTTCGCTTGCGCGCCAGTGATCAGGGGATAGAACTTATCCTCAGGCAAAGGCTTTGAAAGACTCGTGCCCTTGAGGCGTGTGCCATGCACTCCGGTCGGGAGCTTGACAAAGGCTTCAAACTCACGGTCCAACGTGCTCGCTCCCACCGTGAGAATCCATGGCGAAACGTTGGTGACGGATCCAGCAATAGGCCCACTGTTTCCAGCCGAGCACACCACGGCGATCCCTTGCTTCACTGCGTGGAATGAGCCGATGGAGAGGCCATCCTTGAAGTAATCCCCTGGGAACCCTCCCAGGGACACAGATAGGACGTCCACACCATCGTCGATTGCAGCATCGAAGGCTGCAAGGATGTCTGCATCGTAGCACTCACCGCTGTTGTTGACGGGTGTCCAGCACACCTTGTATGAGGCCACGCGGGCTCTGGGCGATCCTCCTCTGGCAGTCCCGTTGGCAACGCCAAAGACATTGGCTCCGTAGACAAAATTCCCTCCTGCGGTCGATAGCGTGTGTGTCCCATGGCCCTCGAGGTCTCGCGCCGACTCGTAAGAAGCATTGAGCTTTTCGATCCCGGAATAGGCTGCAAAGCCTTTGTTAAAGTATCTTGCTCCAATGAGCTTCCTGCAGAAATGAACATAATTTCATACCAAAATCAATCAAAAACGGCAAAAATATATTATGCTGTGTCAAGTTTGAGGACCTGATCACATTAATAAACAGTCGATGCTATACACTGAAGTCTTGCCTACATTCACTCACAATCGAACTAATGTCATTTCACTAGTTTTCGAGGAAATAACTGAATCCTTCTCTTTATTGGCAAGATCATTCGATTGCTTTTAATTACTGATCAGTAGTTGAGGCTAGTATTAGAGCAGACCCGTTGCAAGGCACGCCAGCAGCAGTGTCGTTCTCGCAAAACCCTTTCCATTTCAATGGGGGCGGTCCGTAACCGTGGTCGTTAAAGCTTTGTGATTCTGGCCAAACACCTGCAACAAATATCATTCATTTAGGTACGCAGTCGTGTGAAAATCCATAACTTAGCGCCCAGAAAGAGAAACTATGGACGGCGAGTTAGTAGTACCAGTGTCGAGGTTTCCGATGATGACATTCTCGCCGAGCTTGGCCTTTCCCCACAAAGAACTAGGGGGGATCACACCATTCTTCTCTAGCAACATGAAGTCCCATGAATGGGTTGTGTGCAGATTTCTTCCCTGGTTTGGAAACACCGAAATAACCCTTGGATCCTCTGCATTCAGCATTTTATTTCACATGTTTCAATTCAATCGGTTGCTGTCTATTTGATGTTTGTATACATAAATTGACGAGCACACTGCTCGTCCAAGGAAAAAAAAAGGTTGTCCTCGCAGCGCGGTCAGTGAACACGCCATTCATGCAACAATTTACGTACTTTCAATTTCCGTAGCATCTTCTTCCTCAAGGATGGCTGCGAAACCATTAATATGTCTCGTGTAAGAGTAGAATATTGCTTCCTTTGCCTTCTCATGACTGCATAACAAGAGAAAAATAACGCCAAGAAAAAAAGTAACATGCAATCTGCAAAGGTTTCGTGGTATGATCATAGTACTTACCTACCCAAAAACGAACCAAGGAACTCGTGATGAGACTGGGCCACGCGATCGAAAACTTCTGTCGTGAGTTCTTTGCCATGCGCATGCGATCCCAAGTACACTATATAAGACTTCTCGTTGCGAGCAAAGAAGAAAGCACTCAAACTCCGTCAGATTAACAAAAAAACATCGTCTTTGAACAAGTATATGATCCTAAATTGATAATTCATAAGGAACGAAAGAGAGAGTACCTTCTTAGCTGCAAAAACTGGTGCTTGAAACACAGAAACAAGTACAAAGGCAGACAGCAAAATTGGTAGCTGAGGGATCCCCATGGCCATCTTCTCTTTGGCCTGAAGAATTTCTGCAGCAAAATATTTGACTCTGATTTTCTTCTTCTTTTATTTTGGGGTTTTCTTATGATGGGTTTTCTGCAATCTAGAGCAGCAACT